CAAATCAATATATGATTGGTTGATCAAACTGTCAGTCCAAACGTACGCTCTCATTCAGAGCAACGGCCAGGGCATTCGATCAAGGATGTAGAATACCTTGGTTGAAGGATGTTCGACCCAGAGACCCAGAAACAGATCTGATTGGTTGCTTTCTTTTCTAACACAAAACCCCTGAAATGCGTAGTGCATGGTCCGAGAACGACAAACAAATCAACGTAACACTGTAATATTACAGATCAACAACACAGATACCATTCTCATTTATTCATTTTATTACATTTTATTTATATAATTAAATCGATGTTTGTGTTCCAGGGTATTCTCTGAATACGGTTCGCCACTGCTTTTTAGTGTCCCCTGGTTTCTGTTTTGTTGGGAGCTTTTTGAAGCATTTTTTATTTGCAGCATTCTTTTTTTCAACGTTCTTTTATTAAACTATGTTTCCTCAACTTGGTGAATGTTTTCTAAATGCTGCGTACGTGTCAAGTTGATGAAGAGGTTTCTTAATTTGCATGTGTTTTGCGCATGTTTTTATAGTTACATCGTTTCTGAAACTGCAGAGAGTTTCTCCGAATAGAAGCGTTTGCACCTGTCAGCCACCGTAAAAAGGTTCCCGTACAGCAGTGTAAAATAATCCACTGCTTATCCTCGACTGCTCCTCGCTCAGCCCTCAGATTGATGTAATATTCTGGAAGAATTTCAACATTTCAAGCTGTGCACATGCATTGTTCCAAGGTTGTTCACTTCATTATGACTGTGCACAGATTACACCGAATTGAAAGCTCGTTAATGAATTTGTATTGTTCCTGCTTTACGATTAAAAGCAAACTCGACCATAAATGCTTCTGCGTTTTTAATCCATCTTTATTGTCCCCCTCTCTGTCATGATGCAGACCTGCTGTGAGGCGATAAGGAAAGCTGGAGCCACTCTTGTCGTGATCAGCTTTATGCAGTCGGCCTCAGGACAGCCGGGGGACAGGAGGACACAGCTGAGGCTCGGGGGGTTGCCTCAGTGAAGATACAAAGGGCTATCACCGCCGCTTTTCCAGAAGTCAATCAGGGGACAGTGTAGATGGTCGTTAGCGATGGGCGGGACTAGCCTTCGTCATGGGGCTGGGGCAGCGGCTGATAATTGGGCGTGGGACTCGGTGGCAACAAAGCAACACAGCCTTCGTAATGAGATTAATGATGTTGTGTTAGGTCTTGTTTCACCAAGGAGAGGATTATCTCCTAACAGCCCTCCTAAGGTGAGGGAAAGGACAATTACTCAGACACAGATTCATCAGGCGCATTCCCCATTCAGGCCGAGCTCGAAATTATGTTTCAGAGCCGGGTCAGGGCTCATTCCCACAGAAGAAGAAAAAAAGCAATCTACTCAAAAACTCAGCCGTGAGCATTAAGGAAGTCAAAGTCAATTGTTTTCAACCTGAGCGATGCACAGAGAGCATTACAGTGCCGCAAAGTTCAGATCAACCGCTGATCAAACACCTCAGGGTGAATATAAATATGCTTCCTGCATGTGAAACGATGTATTTGTCAGAGATGAATCCTAGATTAATTTCCCCCTAGCTCTGTCCTCTCACTGCACAGAAGAAATATTCATTACTGATGATCTGCGGAGCGTGTGAGGTGATTGCTTAAATGATGCACCCCTCCTATAGCAGATCTCACTCAGGGGGCCGTCAGGACTTCATGCTGACGTCTTTCATGTTTGTCCAGATGGATCCTTAGACAAATCCCAAGCAGGGAGGTTAATGCAGTTTACTTAAGGCACACAAATAAACTGGTAATGGTATTTATTCACAGATGACTTCAGGCACAGTTTTAGCCCTGAACATATCGAGTCGTACAGCCAGGTTAAATTAGCTTCTCTTTCACTTGTCTTGATAAACTTGAGAGCAACCTGTCCGGTTACTTCCCCTCTACGTTATACCCAGACACCTTTTTGGATGAAAACATTCGGCCCTAACCCTAACCCTAGTCGTCCCACATTTGTATTATATATTCTGAGTAAAATGGATATTAAATGACTGAATAACACAATTAGCATGTTGTCCTTCACCTGGTTCCTCGGTGGCCACATATCAGCACAAAAAATACATATGGTATGTTATAATTTCACAACGTTTTTATGGCTTTTGTCAGCAAGCAATTCTCCACTTATTTATTCGGCTGACATGAAGTAAAGAAAAGAGATTTCTACTTTATTTAGACTTTGATTTGACTTTTTGGAAACTACTAGTTCTCAACCTACCGAAGTTCTCCCACAATGCACCGCTCCTCTGCTATGTTCGTTGGTTACCAGTAGCTGCCCCTTTCTACTTTAAGACACTGGTACTGGCCGACCGTCCTGTAGAGGAATCCTTTCTACAACGAGGACATGGTCAAACCCTACACTCAGGCATCAGCCAATCAGCTTGCCACTTCCCCACAGCAAGAGGGACTCAGGTGAACCTTAAACTAAAACACACCTTGTTGCTATCCTGGCTCCAAAATGGTTTAAAAGCTCCTCATTGATATCAGGAGAGCAGAAAGTGTCTGCCGTCTCAAACTGAAAACCCACCTGTTTCTCTGGAACCTTGGACACTAATAAAAAAAAGAAAGAAAACGTAGCACCAGCACTTACAATGTATTGGCTTTTTGGGAGTGAAAATATCCTCATATTTGCTGCTATTTGTTAGACTTTCTGTACCGGCTACTCATTATTTTGGGTTCTTTATCTGCCATCAGCTGCCTGCAGTGATGATGCAGAAACACTGAGCTAAATCAAACACTAAATGGCTCCTTCCAGCTGTGCCGAGATGTCAAAGTTGGAGGATATTTCACATAGCATGTACTCTAGTCATTTTAGATTTTTTGTTGCAAGCAAATTGGTTTGTGCAGCTTTAAAATCAACATAAAACAATGACTACTTTGTATGCATTCAATAAACAACAGCTCCCATGAGGTTGAGAGCGTGCAAACATGGGGAACAAAAATCAAGTGAAACTGAAATGAATGTATTAGAAATAATCTGCAAATCACTGTTGCAGTCACACACAGACAAACGTTCCTTTATTGTGTATTTATGGACAGTTTGCACATTTATGGTTTATCATTAGCAACAAGGATGATTCATCAACTGTAATAAAACCTCTCCGAGTTGAATTATTTAAAAAATAAACAAATGAGCATGAATAAATAATGAAATGTGAATAAATCCAGTTGATATTTTCTTTTTTTTTCTTCCTTCCAGTGACTGAACTTACTGTATACATACAAATCAATTCATCTAGCAAAAACATACCCTAACTTTATAAAATATGAGTTTCAGCTCACGTCCAGTGTCTTAAAAAAACAAAAAACCTCCCTAAAGGAAAACCAGTAGTGAAATGTCACTATTATACATATTCAAACACATGTCATGAAGTTCTTCTCTAATAAAAACTGACATCAATTCTCTAGAGGAAAAACCTACCGATGTGCACGAGAAAAAAACATTCTCTTGATGGCATGTAACTTAGGGCTGATTTTGTACTTTCTTCAGCGTTAAGAGATAAACATTCTACTTACATGTTCTTCATTACCATTTCATCAACACTGAGGCAAACAGCGTGATCACATTACATCAGAAGTAACACTTTATTTTACAGTCTGTGTAGCTTATTTGTATCACATTCCCAGTATTCACACAAACATGTGTTCAGATTTGTACTCCAGGGAAACCGAATAGTATAAGTGCTGATTCGATAAACATCCACCAAATTAAGTCTCTGTAACATTTTGTTCATAAATGCCATGAGAATTAAAACTAATTATGTCTCCGAAGATGTTGAAACGTAATATTGGCTATGTGGACAATCCGGTCTAATATATAATTGTGTAATTTTGGTTGAAAGCCAAACAAATGTAGTATATTGTGTTAATATTTAAGTAACCTAATTGATTAACATGTAAGGGATTGTTGTTGTGAAATATATAAATGCTGTCCACAATTTGCAGAGTTTGGCAGTCTTCAGAATCTTGTATCCATGTTAATATTATGTATTAGTCTAGTCTTAATCTGTATTGGGTGCTTTGTGTTATATTTTGCAAATAATATATTGTGCTTTGCTAATTAGCACACTCCTTCTTACACACAACATAATACAAACCTAGAGTTAGCAACTTGTTGTTCGTTAGCATTACGACCAGCTTGCTGTTAGCATATTGTTGTTCGTTAGCATTACGACCAGCTTGCTGTTAGCATATTGTTGTTCGTTAGCATTACGACCAGCTTTCTGTTAGCATATTGTTGTTCGTTAGCATTACGACCAGCTTGCTGTTAGCATATTGTTGTTCGTTAGCATTACCACCAGCTTGCTGTTAGCATATTGTTGTTCGTTAGCATTACGACCAGCTTGCTGTTAGCATATTGTTGTTCGTTAGCATTACGACCAGCTTGCTGTTAGCATATTGTTGTTCGTTAGCATTACCACCAGCTTGCTGTTAGCATCTTGGCCAACTAGCAAGGCAAAAAGTTAATGTTGTTAATTGGGCCATCGTCATCATTTTAAAACATTTTCAATATATTGGATGCACTTACATTTCTTTCTTAAACCGCGTAAAAATGTATTTTCGTATCTAATAGTAAAATAGTTAGCATTAATACCAGCTTGCTGTTAGCTTCTTGGCTAGCTAGTACATTTATCTAACTGGACCATCGTCATCATTGGAAAACATTTTCAATATGTGGGATGCTCCAAATCCATTTAAAAAACGAAGTTCAACCGCATAAAATGGTATCTCTTTATCCGTTAGTAAAAACCGTTAGCTTAGCATTAACACCAGCTTGATTTGAGCTTCTTGGCTTACAAGCTAGGCAACATGTTATTCTTATTAATTGGTCTATCATCATGATCAATTTAATACATTTTCAGTTTATGGAATTCTCCGAAAGCATTTAAAAAATGCCGTTAAAATTCTTAAAAATGTGTTTCTGTGTGTGATAGGAATCAAGGAAGCTCAAATAGCCTGACATGTCTTGAGAAGTAAACATTTTAATATATGTTATACTATATTTGAAAGTAATTTCTTGTTCTCCGTTTCAGATGCATTTCACCAAGACTGACTAAAATAGTTTGACCAAATAATCTAAACTGAAGGTTCACTTGTTTGGGATTTTCTCCTATTTTTTACAAACAAACTTCGTTTTCATAGATCTTTGGTAACATTATGGAAAGAAGTCCTACAGTTTACTCTAAGTAAGTGAATCTTTAGTTGAGATTAATTTATCAAACTACCAAGGTACACATATCTGTCTTTAGTTTAGCATGATTAGCCGCAACACACCGAAATCCATTAGGAAAATCTCATTGCTTCTTGTTGAGAGAACACTTGTGATGCTAACTTTGGGGTTGTCCTAAAACGTCATCAATACACCTCTCTATTTGGATTACATTTTAAATAAAATATTTATCTCCAATATATTGAAAATGCGTCAGATGCAGTATTTATCATAGTATTTGAAATTGGCAATAGTATTTTGTATGTAAATTAAATAAATGTTCTCTTCCGACAACTGTCACAGTGACAAAAGTTTGGAAATAAATCTCATGAGCGATCTACTTACTACCCTAATAAATGTTAAATATCTATATTTCCTCTCTGTTTTCATACTTTGTAGTTAATCATAATTTATGTAATATTTTCAAACTGCTATTTCTTCTACAGACCGACATCATTGCTGCAGTTGTGGCTGAGATTTTTTGACACAACTGCGAAGGCTCTTCAACACAGAGACATTGTAGAATAAAGTGCACTGAAACTGAATAATACACATCTTCCAAGTACAGTAATTGTGCGCCACGCAGCTTCACCCTGGGTGGAGAGCTCTCCTGGGGTCATTCATCAAGGTTAGACGGTGGAGAAATGTGCCTGTTGTTGGTATTAATAGCCTGGGGTGAAATAGGTCTTCTCCGCTGTGAAGCAGATCGACAACTCGGGTGAGCACAATCTCACTTTCTCCACTTTTACTGACTCAAGACTGCAGGTGATCAGCGAGTCAGAAAACACCCGCCATCTCCACCTCTACGACATTACTCCATGTACTTTTGCTGTTGCCCGGTTCAGTAAATCATATCTCTCTAATAAAATTCATGATTGATAAATTATCTTCTCTTTGTTGACAATAACATTAAAATAATGTGTGGTTATTAAGGCAGTCTTTCCATTTATAAACAAGACATTTTAAAATCAGAAAATGCAATCTGGACAGGAAAAAGAAAATGAAGTCGGACTTGTCCCAAATAAGTCATGTTTACTTGCTCCATAGTTTAAATGTTTTCGCTCTTCAACCCCTCAAGGAAAAAGTCTTGTAAAGTTCCCACGTATCCTCTTCTCTCATTAACAGCTCATCTGAAAATTCCACGGAGTCCCTCTAGTCCTTGTAGGAGTCTGGGTTTCTAGATTTCAGCAGAGAAACCTCAGTGTTGGAGTTATACGTGCACAGATGGCACGCTCTTGTTGAGGACCTGTGCCCTCATCACCTGCACGCTTGTCATGATCTTCTTCTGGTGACCCATCAGCGTCACCCCGAGCCTCTGGATGTCCCTGCAACGTAAACACACAAAGAAAAACACATGAAATCCGGATTTTGCGATCTATAATGGCCTCGTAATTGAAGACCCCTAAAGTCTTTAGGCCAGGGGTCACCAACCTTTTTTAGGGTGAGGACTACTTTCAAAAAATAAAACAAGTCGGGGGCTACTTTTTGTTTTTTGCAGTATATATATTTAGCACATTTTAACATTATTATATGCTGACCTTTAACCTTTGTGTGCTGTTTGGGTCTGTGGGACCCGTTTTCAGTGTTTACTAAAAGAACATATATGCAATTTAATTATTTTGGGGGTGGACCTCACCTCCTCTAGGGGGGTCCGGGGGCATGCTCCCCAGGGAAGATGTTTTATGTGAAATGCATCAATCTGGTGCACTTTGAGCACAACATGAATTGATGGATACAGCTCTCAACACTCAGATGAAAGGGAGCTGTATACTTTTCAATAATCCAAACATCTTTAGAATATGATCACAACCAATAACAAATCATTTAAACTTATGTTACCTATAGCATTCTTTCTTTCTATCTATGCATATTTTATTAGTCACTTCCCTTTTAAACAGTTTTTTGTTTTTTTTACTGTCCTATACACATTGGAATGATTTCTTACTTTATCTATATTAAATAGATAAAGGTGTGCTCTCCCTAGCTCTCTCGCTCTCTGTCTCGCTCGCTCGCTACCTACCTCTCTCCCTAGCTCTCTCTCTCTCTCCATGGCTCTCTCCCTCCCTCCCTACCTCTATCGCTTGCTCTCTGTCTCTCTCCCTCCCTCCCATACCTCTATCGCTTGCTCTCTCTCTCTCCCTCCCTCCCTCCCTCCCTACCTCTATCGCTTGCTCTCTCTCTCTCCCTCTGTCTCGCTCGCTCACAGAGGCTGTGTGCTCCTCTGTGGCGATGACGCCTTGCGTTAAAAAAAGAAAAATAAACATATTTGTAAAGTGGGGGGACACAAACAGGATTTCAAAAAGAGCGAGGGACATGTCCCCCCTGTCCCAGGTGGAAATTACGCCATGCGACGTGTGTGCGTCAAGTGCAATACATATATAAGCAAGTTGCAACACACAGAGTAAAGCTCTGCCCCTCATGTGTTGTATAGGCTGGCACGATAGGCTGTTCCACAGGGCTGATGTGTTGCCACATTGATTTTCTTCCCGACTGCAACGCTGGTCCCGCAAATCAAGCAAGAACGTGATTGGTCGATATTCATGGTGGGGGGAGGAGGGGTGTTAGATAGATATAGAGTTGTAGTAAGTAGATAGAGTTCGCTATGATTTAGGTTTCGTTTATGCATAGCGTAGATTCTTTTAATTACATTTCCTTTTTTGTTTTGTGTATTTTATACATTTTGGATTTGCTTGGCGAGCTATTTTTAGAACATGCCCCGCGGGCGACTCATGTTGCCCCTGCGGGCGACTAAGTGCCCGCGGGCACCGTGTTGGCTTCCCATGCTTTAGGCTGATACAAACAAGTTCTTTATTCACATGATGTTTAATAATAATAATAATAACGTTGCCCCGTAACAGCTAGGTGTGTAAATAACTCTCTGCTAAGAAGTGTGTGGTATCACCCTAGAGGTAATAATATGTGAATGTTTAGTTCACAACTTGTTTCTGCTGCCCCCAAGTGGCCCGAGATATATGGGAATATAAGCGCTGGGAACTACGATACTATACGATACGCTATATGGAAATTACCTCAATGTATTGTACGTTATATGGACATGATTTCAACCGATTTTAAATGATCTACTTATTCTTAATTAAAGTGTATTGCTGTTGAAAAATGTTATACTTGCATCACTATGCTTTTCATTAGCAACAAATTGTCAACAAATGACAATAACATGGTCTATCACAACTATTTCTTGGACAATATAGATTCCATAAAGTTAGTTATTGTGACAGGCTTACACGACACATTAAACCTCCACCACATAGCCAGTTTGTAATTGTATCCTCCATCATCTAGTCTATTTATGTTTCATACATTTGTCTGACCATCTGTCGTCAGCCTAACAGCTCATGCATCTCGTCCCTTGTCGGCCTCTTCTTGTTTTCGACCCATGTTGGTGTTTTCTGGTTTCACTCCATCCCGACAGACACTTCTTCTACACAAACACGGCACAGACTTTCTACTAGGAAGCTCTCAGTGTAAAGTCCTTTATTATCCAGTTATTGTTAGCATACACTGTTTATGTTGTCTGTTTTATTTGTTGTACTGTTGGAAGAACCTGTGACTTAAGTTTTGCTTTGCCATATCTACACTGTAGCTAATATGCACATCACAATAAAAGCCTTGTAACTTGAAACTTGAACAGCAGATCCGTTAAGAGTCGCAGGGCAAGTGTTAAAGGGGCTTCATACACTAGTAGAGCTCAGCGTCATCACTCTCCATTAGGGTTGCCAACCGTCCCGTATTTGAGCCAAAAGGGGCGTGTCCCATACGGGACTTTGTTTGTCCCGGACTCCCGTGTAAAGGGAAAAATAAAAAATATGTTTCTGTTTGAGCGCAATGCAGTCTGTCTGGCTGCGTGCCTGTGTGTTTGTGTTCTGTATGGGAAGGGCACTAGGACCGCTCAGTTGACAGGGCAGGCACAATGCTTGCACGTGTGTGTGTGAGATTTTCTCCGGTGGGCCGCGGGCGCAGCATCATTGTTTGTGTGGCATGTCAGCCTGTTCAGTCGTGTGGGAAAATGAGCGCTGCCGGTGGAGGAGGTGATGATGAAAGAGGAGAAGAGAGAGAGGATGTGGTTCTGGGCCCTTCTAAAAAGAAAAGACTTGTGTCTTACAACAAACAGTGGAAGAAAAACACAGTTGGGTAAAGCCTGTGAGTGGAGATCTGTCTCGGGTCTTCTGTGTGTGTGTGTGTGTGTGTGTGTGTGTGTGTGTGTGTGTGTGTGTGTGTGTGTGTGTGTGTGTGTGTGTGTGTATGTGTGTGTGAGTCAGTCAGTCAGCTGATTGATGGGAAAATGGTTGGTTGAAGGATAACATTAAGTCTAATAATGATGTACCGTGCATGTTCACATCATGTATACTTTGCATTACTTAATACCATTTTTCAAATATTTATTTTTTAACATTTTGGACAAAATAGCCAATTGTACATCGAGGTGCCCAGATGTCCCTAGTGCCCACCTATCCGATTTGAACATGCTGATGTACAATGAGATGTAGTAGCCTAATGCAGGTGTAAGATCATTGTGTTTGTATTGTGTTATAGGTATGCATCGTTTTCTATGCCTATTGAGGGTTTTGGGGGGTTTGACCCCTCGAACCCTAGGGGGCTGGCTCCCCCAAAAGAATTAAATAATATAACCCTAACCTGACCCTAACCCTAAAACCGAAATAAAGTAACAAAAAAAAAAACTAAATCCGCCAGAAACCCGAAAATCTTCGCGCGCGCGCGGGGGACACATGCATGTGTCCCGTTTCTCCATTTCTGGAAGTTGGCAACCCTACTCTCCATCATGGTCAGTACCTACCCTTGGTTAATGCTTATGACGTGTCCCAGAGTTTGGTACCCCCCTGCTGCAAAGTGGTCCTTGTAGCGGCTCATCTTTATGGTGTCCAGCCACTCGTTCACTGAGTTACAGCTACTGAAGTCTGGGATGGCTCTCTCCATCAGCGTAGGACTGCTTAACCTGCGTCCGAGGAAGAGACAGATAGCCACAGATAGACAGAGAAGGAGGGAGATGAATGGGAGGATAACAAGATTAGTTGGAGGGAGTTTGAAAATGAGAAAAAAGGCAAAAGGTGAGCAAGAGGCAGAGCGACCAGGGGAAAGAGGGGCTTTGAAATGCGCTGGTAACTGAGGCAGAAAATCAATAACAGTAAAATGATAGAGAAGAGGCGGCTGCTTTGGGTAGATTAATACAGGGAGAAATCCTCAACACCTATCCTCTACCTAACACTTCTCTCAACACGCACCCACAGAGGCTCAAAGCCACGCACCACTGACTCCGTAGGACCCGGGATCTGAACTGAGCAATTTACACAGGTCCAGCTTTGGCCCGGGTGTCCTCTCAAACGTGCAGCGAGACTCACAGCGGATCAATGACAATATCACAGCCAGGCTTTTACTTAACGCACAGCGCGTCCATCAGAAATGAGCTTATTGGAAAACGAACACGACCGCTCGCTTCATTTCCCGGAGAACTTCGAAGGGAAACTTCAGGCTGCAACTTTATCCCACCGCGCTCATGTTTCATATCAGTGGGATGAGATTGGATTTCCTCTGCCTCCCGCACCAGGACACTTACTTAGTAGCCTAACAGTCTGTCACCGCATATTGTCCGGGAGATCATCTTCTTAGCCCCTTGCAGATGGTGTCTTGCTTTGATTTGCAGCTTAATTCGATAATCACACGAACCAATATTTGATTTCAATGTTGGGGCGAGCTGTCTGGCCAAATTAAATCAAAAGACTACTGGCAGTGTTGCTTCACTGCAAACATGTATCTGTTCAGAGGCCTTCTCACCTGCAGAGCGTGTCCATAGTCTTCAGGTTCTCTGGGTTTCGGATTAGCTTGTCGAGAACGGTGACTATCTGGCAGAAACGCGGCCTCTCGCTACGTTCCTTCTGCCAGCAGTCCAGCATGAGCGTGTGCATAGGACCCGGGCAGCCCATCGGAGCGGGCAGCCTGTAGCCCTCCTCCACAGATTTGATCACCTGTACACAACGATATGAACAGGGTATGTGTAAGATGTTTTGTACCGTATAGGTAATAGCTAAGACAGTGACTTTAGAAAATAAGAAACCAAGATATTTAGTATAAGAAATGTGTCCTATGCTCAGAGATTGTATTTATATTCAAGCATATTCAGGCAGCAGTCGATACACTAACACTGAAACACATGAGCATACTAGTTTAAAAAAGCATAAATAAAATCTGAGCTGACAGAAAATGCTCCGTTTTAGTTCAACACACACAGTTAAGCTCACACACACTATTTTATGAACATATAGGTTCACCTGCTGAATGAAACACAGAGCAAATGAAGCAAAGAAACCATAGAGCAGATTCAGGCAGTAGAAGTATTCACACTTCAAGTATTATCCTACAGAACAGAACAGCTCACAGAGAAGAGATAACAGCTGATCCTTTACAACAAACACTATCTGATATTTGTACTTTGTTAGGAACATTGTTATCCTGCCAGTAATTTGAATGCATTTTAACAGTAATCAGGAAATACTGTTACTTTCATTTGTATTCTAATTACGTAATCCCATTACATGTAATCTGTTACTTCTCAAGCCTGACCATGAACCCACAGTCTGCAATACAAACACATTGAACAACAGCAGGTTGGGACTCACGTCTCTGTTGGTGAGGTTCCAGTACGGTCGCTCTCCGTAGGACATCACCTCCCACATCACCACGCCATAGCTCCACACGTCGCTGGAGGAGGAGAACTTCCTGAAGGCGATGGCCTCCGGCGCCGTCCAGCGGATCGGGATTTTCCCGCCCTGTTAGGAGCATGAAGAAATTTGACCGGGGTGACTTTCTGAGGAAAATTCATACATCTCGAGGTAATACAAATAAATGTGTGTTCACAGTTTAAAGGGTTCTGACTATGTTCTTTATCTTTCTGTGACTATCATTAAACCAGCTATGTGCTGACGTCGCCTTTGTGTTTCTACGTTGTTTGGTTTCGTTTATTTGTTTAAAGTGTTGTGGACAGTCCCCATTATTCAACTGTCACAAAAAACAGTAAATGGGGCAGCTCTAGCCAACATTGCACATTTCCAGCTGTTCCAGATGATAATGGACACCTTTTTAAAATCACAACACATCAACAGCATTAGTTATAAAGAAAGGATGAAAGACAAGTAGATGGAGGCGAAAGGAAAGGAAGGTTGTGTTTCTATGGAGAGAGCGTTGCTGCCCAACTATGCTGAAGCGCAACACTTGAAAGTGTCACTGTCAAATAATTTCAACTTTTTCCTCGATTAGTGCTGTCATTTCGACCAGCAGCCAATCAGATGACAGTTGAATGTAGTGCCTCAAGCTAGCTAACCATTGAAAAAAACGTCTTGCGGTGTGCCAAACCTCGCAGTGAGCAAAGAGCAAATCGCTTAATTGTCGATAATCCCAATGACCAAAATCAACAAATCTGACTTTACTCTTGCCTTCCATTTTAATCCAACCAAACCAATACACATATGTCATCCAACCCTTAGTCCTAACCATTTTGCCTACCCTTAATTTACAACGTTGTGCTTTCGAACAATTAACATGCAACAGATATTGAGTATGTAAGCACTTTGAATTGCCTTGTGTTGAAAGGTGCTATATAAATAAACTTGCCTTGCCTTGCCTTGCCTTGCCTCGCCTCGCCTCGCCTCGCCTTGCCTTGCCTTACCCTACTAAAAGGTAGTGTTTGTATCCAAAGTCGGATAACTGTGAGGTAGAGCTCCATTATTGTCCGAAAACAATTAAAACACGTACATGAGCTAAACTTTTGTGACATGTTCTTTCCTTACGCAGCCATGTGACCGTGATGTAGTTTGCTGAAATCCGTAACGCCCCTTCTCTGACGTCATCTTCAAATCAACCCTGAAAACTCATCTGTTCAACAAAGCCTTCCAACATTAACTCACTCTTCCCCCCCTGCAATGTAACACTTCCATTTCTGCCACCTGTTTTATGTCTTGTCCTTGTATGTTCTTTGTTAAGCGACCTTGGGTTGATGAAAGGCGCTATATAAATTCAAGCATTAAGTATTATTATTATTTATAGCCTAATGTTAGCTTTTTAATACTGCCGATTGCATGTACACTACAAAATTACAAAGTGGGGGTAATATGTGGAGATTATCATAAACCTGTGTTTGCCACAGCGCTTATATTCTGCAATATCCCGAAATCAAATGCAAAATCCCATTGTCTCTTTGTTTAGGGAGCCCTTGCGATGCTAACTTCCGGGTTGGGCGTCAAAAAAAACGTCATCACTGCACCACCTTATTGCTGGGATGCTCACAAGAGCACTTTCAAATGTACAGTACTTTTCATCATGGAGGTATAAAGTGAAAGAATATATAATAAATAGCCATCGCTCATGCTAGTGCCAATAGCCGCTTTCACACCAAGTACTTTGCCGTACTTAGTTCCCAGCACTTAGTTCCCCCATGGAACTAAAGAGCAGATCGCGTTCACACCGGAATAAGTCCCTGGGGGAGGATTAGTCAAATGAAGCCGCTGACGTCACTTCTTCTTCTTCAGCTTTGGGTTTACTGGCAGGCCGCAAACAACTTCACGGCGTATACTGCCGCCCGAAGTCCCCGGCCGGAAGTCCCCGGAGTTGGGGACTGGCTTCAGTAGAAGCTGCTGGGACTCCCAGCAGCTTCTACTGAAGCCTTCCGAGTAAATCGCCAGAACGCTGACACCTCCTCATCTCCACCGCTCCCATGTTTTATTTTGTGTTGCCATAAGTTATTCTCTCTCCGTTGGTGCGCTGGGCTAATGCTAATAATGCTAATGCCAGCAAATACAATGGCGGCTTCACAAAACTTTTCAGAGTTTTACGGGGCGTGGTTTGTAATTCGCCCAGCCAATCGAAATTGGTATTTTTTCTCCCCCACTTCTCTAGCAGGCACTCAACACGGGGTTAAAAGTTCTCTGAACTAAGTTCTCTTTTTGGTGTGAATGCAAAATTCCAGGCACTAACGGAACTAAAAGGGAAAAGTACGGGTAAAAGTACTCCGGTGTGAACGCGCCTAATGGGGATTCTACTAAAGACAAACACACTTGTTAAATGACTAAAAGAGCTGGTGAGTGCATTTATTACAGGCCAACACAGGAATAGACTTGCAAATGTTGGCAGATATGTGAACTACTTACACTAATCTTTATATAAAACTGGCACTTAATTAGGCTGACAGATGGATACATCACTTCTTAAACAAACAAAGCGCTCCCTGTGGCTCATTTGAAACATTTTGAAGGTTACTCTCAAAACGCAGCCCATTACGGTCCCTTGATTTTTTGCTAAGTGTTTAAAAACCTGACTGGAATTCTCTAACACTATCTTATTATCTCTATACTTAAAGGTGACTTTGCTGCCAGATTCCATAGAATAAGCAGATTTATTCATATTTCCAGGCATTTATGTGAACTGTATTAATCTTAAGCCATAATCAACCATTAATTTGAGATGCCAGAGTGTCTGTAATATCCTCATCAACATCCTTTTCCCCTTCAGAGTGTCCGATAGGGAATTTAATCGCCTTGCTTTCTGTAATCTGATTGCTTTGCTTTGACAGACTGCAACAGACACATGTAACAAATGCTGATTTCATCTTGTTTTATGAGCTGATATCATCAGGCTCTAGAAGGAGATTTACTTTTTTTTTAGTAAAGACTTCATACATTTGTGCTCACCAGGCTACAGGGTGATCTTGGACTGCTCTCTAACAAAGATGACTTGACTTTGTACTCACTTTGTGGGACTTATGATTATTGTGATGTTACATTCTTGTCCAGATTTCCTGTGGAACTGCCCTCTTAGATAAAGGTTATATAACAACGCTAAATAAGAAATTAAAACTTTGGAATTACATTAAAAATATTGGATATCTTGAACACACTAATGTATTATTTTTGAAGTCACACATATTGAAGTTCATTGATCTGGTTAAATTTAAAACGGCACAAATCATGTACAGAGCCAGACATAATCTACTTCCTAGGAAAATAAAAACATTGTTCGTAGACAGAGAGGGTGGGTATCATTTGAGAGGAAATCTACATTTTAAACTCAAGGTCAGAACAACTCTGAGAAGTATGAGTTTAACTATCTGTGGGGTGACTTTATGGAATGGTTTGGAGCAGGAGTTCAAACAAAGCACAAGCATAATTCAGTTTAAAAGGAAACACTTTTTTGGAAAACTATGAGAATTAAGAAAGGTGATTGAAGATGAGAAATGATTGTATATGTATAAATGTAAATGTATGTAGGAATAACTTGCATAAGGATTTAAAGGACAATCATTGATCAAGTAAGGGGTGGGAATTAATAAGCATTTGCTTCCTCCTGCTCCCTTTCGGACACATATGATTTATTATTATTATTAATATGAAGACTTTTTTTGTTGAATATACAAATATTACCATGAATGTGGATAAATTGTATTATAACAATACGGTATTCTGTTTTTCACATTTGTTATTTTTTATTTGTTATTTTTTAATCTGTTCGAAATAAAGACTGAAAATGAAAATAAAGACTGAAAATGAAAACGTGTCAGTCACTGCAAAATATGAAGAAATATTTGATAAATGAAATGGCTATAAAAACACAAGTCCAGAGAAAAGCCATGTTGTCTTTAAGCACGGCTTTTTGTATATATATATATATATATATATATATAGTGTTTATCTAAATAATTTCTGAGGTCAGGTTAATATCTTTCCATAAGTGCAGTTTATAAACTTTTTGTCAACAGATAGATTTTTTAATTACATTTAAATGTAAAAAGCTCAGTGCGTCACCCCCTCCACCTTCTCTTTCTTTGTATTTAATACATGTTTTTAATGTATTCCCATTGGTAATCTTCTTTCATAATGTATTCCCTTGAATGGACAATTAGATACAGCTAAATGGGAATGGAGAGCAGTTGACGAAGGTGGAAATACTTTATGTCTGTATAAGGAAGCTGAAACTGAAATAAAAGAAGTATCCTTGTGGTTAAGAAATATGAGGACCGACATTACATAAAATGAAAAAAAAAAATCATTGGTATTCCATAAAATGCCAGAAAGAGAGGACGTTTTTCAGAAAAAGCTAAAAGGTCAGATTGGTGCATCCTTTGTGTTCAATTGGTTGATGTTATACCTTTGAAATATAAGGTTTACAAACAAAGTACAGTCATTTGTGCCATTTTAAATCATTTGATCAATTTCATGACATTACTGCTCCCTTAACATTTATTTTAAAAGGTAATTTGTGTGTGTGTGTGGCAGGTGTGTGTGTGTGTGTGTGTTAATGTGTGCTGATTCGTTGCTTGCCTCAATGTGAAAACTCACACTGGTGGTGTATGCAGCGTCGGGGTCGTCCTCCAGCACTCTGGACAGGCCGAAGTCAGACACCTTACACACCAGGTTGCTGTTGACCAGGATGTTGCGTGCAGCCAGGTCTCTGTGGATGTAGCCCAGGTCAGACAGGTAGGTCATACCGGCCGCGATGCCACGCAGCAACCCCACCAGCTGGATGATGGTGAACTGCCCGTCGTGTCTCTACAGGAAGATTCAAGAGTCAAAAGATTCAACGGTTTTATTGTCACATGCACAAAATCTGAGCTCCTCCAACAATGCAACATATAAAATCAGAGGTGGGAAGTAGTGGAGTACAAATACTTTGTTACTGTACTTAAGTACATTGTTCTGGTATCAGTACTTTACTCCACTTCTTGTTTTTCTGACAACTTTTTACTTTGACTTCTTACATTTTGAACTCAAATACCTGTACTTTCTACTTCTTACATTTTGAACTCAAATACCTGTACTTTCTACTTCTTACATGTTGAACTCAAATACCTGTACTTTCTACTTCTTACATGTTGAACACAAATACCTGTACTTTCTACTTCTTACATGTTGAACACAAATAAATACCTGTACTTTCTACTTCTTACATGTTGAACTCAAATACCTGTACTTTCTACTTCTCACATTTTGAACCCAAATACCTGTACTTTCTACTTCTTACATGTTGAACACAAATAAATACCTGTACTTTCTACTTCTTACATGTTGAACTCAAATACCTGTACTTTCTACTTCTTACATGTTGAACTCAAATACCTGTACTTTCTACTTCTCACATGTTGAACACAAATACCTGTACTTTCTACTTCTTACATGTTGAACTCAAATACCTGTACTTTCTACTTCTCACATTTTGAACACAAATACCTGTACTTTCTACTTCTTACATGTTGAACACAAATACCTGTACTTTCTACTTCTCACATGTTGAACACAAATACCTGTACTTTCTACTTCTTACATGTTGAACACAAATAAATACCTGTACTTTCTACTTCTTACATGTTGAACTCAAATACCTGTACTTTCTACTTCTTACATGTTGAACACAAATACCTGTACTTTCTACTTCTTACATGATGAACTCAAATACCTGTACTTTCTACTTCTTACATGTTGACCTCAAATACCTGTACTTTCTACTTCTCACATGTTGAACACAAATACCTGTACTTTCTACTTCTTACATGTTGAACTCAAATACCTGTACTTTCTACTTCTTACATGTTGAACACAAATACCTGTACTTTCTACTTCTTACATGATGAACTCAAATACCTGTACTTTCTACTTCTTACATGTTGAACTCAAATACCTGTACTTTCTACTTCTTACATGATGAACTCAAATACCTGTACTTTCTACTTCTTACATGTTGACCTCAAATACCTGTACTTTCTACTTCTCACATGTTGAACTCAAATACCTGTACTTTCTACTTCTTACATGTTGAACTCAAATACCTGTACTTTCTACTTCTCACATGTTGAACTCAAATACCTGTACTTTCTACTTCTTACATGTTGAACTCAAATACCTGTACTTTCTACTTCTTACACTTTGAACACAAATACCTGTACTTTCTACTTCTCACATGTTGAACACAAATACCTGTACTTTCTACTTCTTACATGTTGAACTCAAATACCTGTACTTTCTACTTCTTACATGTTGAACTCAAATACCTGTACTTTCTACTTCTCTCATTTCCCAAACAGGCTGGTTCCTTTAGTCTGAATGTGTGTTTGATGCGTGATCATTATTCTTTAGAGTCATTGCGTGCCTATTGATTTGAACACGATCCGTGTATCCATCATTTCCTGGTCTTCTCTAAAGAAGAGGGACCAATGGAAACGTTGTCATGTTGCCGTTGTTCAGCATGGAAACATTCATTAGCTAACAATGACATTATTGTTCTATTAATATAAAGGGAGGTCAGGTACTCTTTAAAACAGCTGCTAGTTATGGGTACTTTTTACTGAAGTACATTTCAAAGCCTCTTTACTTTTACTTGAGTAAAGAAGTTTAGTCAGTACTTTTACCAGAGTATTTTTAAACAAGAGTATCTGTACTTCTACTTGATTAAAAGGATGTGTGTACTTTTGCCATCTCTGAATAAAATACAAAATAAAAAGTAGTGCAAAAAGTCTATATACATGTAAATAGAATATGATATGTACAAGAACAGCATATGACATAAAATAATGTAAATTGAGACAAAATGAAATACAGTTTATTGCGTGGATAACTAAATAAGTTAGTGGAAGGAAGTGGGGGAAGAAGAGAGAACAGATGGGGAGGGAGGAGGTAAGGAGAGAGAGTTTTAATGGCAGATAAGAAATGATGGTATAGCAGCAGACAAGATGAGGGGAGTGATAATAGGAAGAGATTTTAATCAAGATAGAGAAGTGAGTGAAGATAAGAGAATAAAACATGACAGGGATTTGCTTATAAGTAATAATCCAGGATATTTTCATATAAGCAAATACCGGAGCTGTTTGACATTGTCGATGTAACACAATGTTAAATTAACTTAAATCTTGTGAAAAAATAAATGATTTTCACATTTGCTTTTCTGAGCCGCTGCTGCCTTTTCCTGGGAAGTAATACTCTTATAAATAAAAAGCGATGTGAAGTGCCTTTTTCATATTAAGTAAAGCACTGCAGTTTTCTTTTTTTCAGCTGCTCTCAAGTTAACAACTATGTGATGTGGGTGCAGAAACAAGTCCTAAAACATGGAAAAGACTAGGCTTTTTACCACTTCCAGTTCCCCTGTCAATGTTTTTTTTTAACCTGTTTGTGGTTAAACCCATTGAAATCAGGACAGCAGAAAGCCTACACATCTTCCGGCGCAGACTAAAAACTGTTTTGACTCCACTTCGGGCAATAGAATTACCAACAGAGCACTTATATACTAATAAAGGACTGGCTTATCTAAAGCCAGTTGAGTAGCACTTGAAATATTTTGGCTCTATGAAACCTGATGTACTTATATGATTCTGTTTTCTTCAAGTTTGTATCTTCTTGGTCGAATGCACTTATTGCAAGTCGCTTTGGATAAAAGCGTCAGCTAAATGCAATGTAATGTAAACGCTTGAGATCAAATGCAAAGAGGAACCTTAACCAGTTTAGCCCTGAGCCTGTTTTTCAGGTCTCAGGCTCGAAAATGACATTCCCAGAACAAATGACCATATCTTCACTTCTAAAAGGGTTATATTAATAATCTTTTTTCTCAAAGTAATGATAAACCTGTGAGTTGGATGTAGAAGAGTCAGACAATATAGATGTTTTTTATTTTAAAGAAAATTCAGATTGAACATAGTAAAAAACTGTAAATTATAGTGTCTGTCCAAAAATACTTATAGTGAAAACTACCCTTGGATGATGGTAAGGTAGACTGAAAGCTTTAGGAATCCAAAGTACAACATATAATAAGTACCCTGTATCAAGATTGATGCAAAACAAGTGACATTTGACCTTTTTAGAGAGATTTAGCCAACAAAAACTCCACCTATGACGTCATTTGGGTGGAAATGGGGGTTTTACCGTTTCTCTGGAACCCATTGGTCGATTTTGGTGATTGACATCTCTTTCTGACCATTAGAGCCAATAGAATCGAAGGGGAATCTCCCCACTCACACACATGGTAAAACAAAAAGGTGTGGGCTTCGTATCCCCAGTTTTGCATGAGAGTGAAGCTGTCTCTAGCTCTGACATCTGGAAACCGAAAAGCAGGTTTATTGCTCATGGATAATCAGAAATCATTCAAAGGGACACAGACACATTAGATTAACCTATGGATTAACTTCAGCAGCGTTTTTATCGTTTTAATGCCATTGACGACCACTTTTGACCAGACTACTACACAGGTGTGCCATGTTAGCATTTTTAGCTACCTAGCGCAATATGTTTTGATGTCTGTTTTTGTTTATAAAGTCGCGATTTCGTATAATTGAGTGATAATGAGGGTACCCTTCGATTCTGTGTCACCTCACGATGTGAAACGATGGGTTGGATGTGCAGCAAAGATACATAATAAGGTTTTGTGAGTGACTTTCGGTGCAGTCATCTGTTAGCATGTTTCGCTCGTTGCTAATTCAGAGGCTCAGCGTTAGCATTGTGGGTTTTATTTAAAAAAATAAAAATAATGATCAGTTGGATGAGTTTCTTCCCGTTACATGGATATAAAACATTCATAGTTTATTAAATGAACATGCCCTCAGACACTGTTTCCTACAAGATGTTGCCGGTACCGGGGTCTCTCGGGCTTAACAGGTTAAATGCTTCGACAAAAGAACTCGAATACTAACCCTGAGGAAGGAGTCCAGAGAGCCGTTCTCCATGTACTCTGTGATGATCATCGCTGGTTTGCCTAAAGAAATAAAAAGGAACTTTAGGACTCTTCGAATGATAGACTGCATATCTACACTGAACAGAACTATATGTACACATTTAAAGGGAGTTCAACATGTATTCATAACACAAATCCTTTAAATTACGTTCCCATACCACAAATTGTAAATTAAGTTACTTAGGAAACTTATTTTGTCCATGTTTTAGTGAAACATAAAGTCAGAATTCCCCCTTAAATGTTACATCTGTAACTTCAACGTTCTTATATTAAACCAGATCAGTGTATTTTACTTAACATGACCTAGCAAATTTGTTGCATTTTTACGTTATTGAGAAAGCCATTCAGTCGTAAGGTGTACGTAATGTTGTATAAGACAGGGTTGAATTATATCCTGTTTAAATACATAATTATCCTAACTTCAAGAAATTGATATCCAAATACATTAAAAGACGATCTATTAGGTTCAACCCTAACCCTAAACAACATTACAGTGTATGAGGCTGGTGAGCTTGAATAAGTAGACTTATATTGTCTTTTTATTATTAACTGTCTTGATCAGTAATATTTCAGGTGTTCTGTCCTAACTATTACTTGTAGGAAACAAGGTATAAAGCATACTTTGGGTTACTACTAAGAAATTGATATCCAAATTAAGAGCTATTAAGATCATGTTAAGGGCCTACGTTTTGCAAGTTTTCTGCGTAACCCTAACCCTAGCCCTAAACAACGTTATGAGGCTTGTGAGCTTGAATAAGTAGACTTATATTGTTTTTTATTATTATGTATCTTGGTCAGTAATATTCCAGGTGTTCTGTCCTAACTATAACTTGTAGAGACAGGATATAAAGCATACTTTGGGTTACTACCCCCTCCAAGCGGATGACGTTAGGATGGTCAAACTGAGCCATGATGGACGCCTCTGCCAGGAAGTCCCTCTTTTGTTTCTCCGTGTATCCCGCCTTCAGGGTCTTCAGCGCCACTGGGATGTCTCTTTTCCCCGGGAGTCTCATACGTCCATAACACACCTCGCCAAATTCCCCTTGACACAACAATGATTCCAATTTAACACAAGACATTTTTTACTCTGTATTCAACATGCAATGTGGTCAGGTTATAGATATTGTAAATGTGTCTTTGTGTTGTTTTCCCCTTTACTGTGAAATGTTTGTCCTGGTTATCGTGGCCTATTGTATAAATAATCACCTTAATCTGGGATACACATTTAAATCCAACTTCATTCCAACTCATTACCACAATTTTCACTAATCTTTCTTTGCATTTATGATCAAAGGACCTCATTTAAACCCAGTTAACAAAAGGCAAACATTGGATGTGTACAATAGTTAAGATCACAGGAACATATCTTGATGGATTATGAGAGTTGTAGATGTCAATGTTTATCGAGGATTTATTAAAATGTAATGGCAGCACATAATGACACTAAATGCTGTTAATGTAAATGAAACACGCACAACTTAACGAAAGAAGCGATCTTAATTCTTACAAAAAACATCATATGAAACCATCCATGTTATTTTTGTGGCAATGGTTATTTTTGTGACTGAAAATACTTCTTATCACAAACTCTACCAGAGGACTACAGGAAGTTAAATCTCTGTGTCAGATAAGAGAAACAAATCCACTTACCGGCTACATGTATGTGCAAAACTGGAAGTAAGCTAACAATCCATGAGCCTCTTTCTCATTAATTCTTATCTGGAGCCCAGCAGAACTTTAAGTATGATTGCTGTTGTTTGTTTTCAATGATATACTGAATATTTGGCGTTATGTCTGCAGGAGTCATATATTGTGGTGCTGACACAGTGTTAGTATTCTTCGCCCGTCGGAGGAACTTTGATTGACAGCTCCACGAAACGCTCTGATTCCTTACTGCCATCCTCCTCTCTGCTGCACACCACAGCCTTTACACCGACCAATGATTTCAAGTTAGCCCGGCCAATGATTTTCCCTCTGTGTGTGTGTGTGTGTGTGTGTGTGTGTGTGTGTGTGTGTGTGTGTGTGTGTGTGTGTGTGTGTGTGTGTGTGTGTGTATGTGTGTGTGTGTGTGTGTGTGTGTGTGTACACGGTTTTACCTGAGCCAATGATTTTCTCTATTTTGATCCTGGAAGCTTCAATTTCTCGGGCGAACTCGTGGACCGCATGGCAGGGGTCCTCGTATGTGTGCGGGTCGATATAAAACCTCGCGTCGGGGAACGACACTAAGATAAACAAAATTAGCATTTGGTCACATATCGGAGAATGAGAACAACATCACATCTGAGCCCCTGTCACTTGTGTGTGTGTGTGTGTGTGTGTGTGGGGGGGGGTAGTTGATGAACGAGAAGAAATAAACAGCCTGCAGGAAATAAGGCCTGTGTGCCCCTGTTATCACTTAGAGAGTTATGAAATGTGTTTGCTCTAACGATGAACTTTAATACAGTACGTGGGGATGCAATCTAATCGATATATATATTGGTTGGAACTGAGGATTGGGCTAAACATACCGTGACCGTTCTGGTAATGCATCTTCTCCTCATCAGAGTCCTGGAAGGCTTTGCTGTAACCACAGTGTCTGTATAAAACACACACACACACACACACACACACACACACACACACACACACACACACACACACACACACACACACACACACACACACACACACACACACACACACACACACACACACACACACACACACACACACACACACACACGCAAACACATAAACATACAGGACAATGTTGTACTATCAAGCTCATAATTAATGAGTCAATACATGTTAGAGCTATTCATCACAAGTCATTGTTAGTTATTTATAAAGAACAACCAGTCAGCTGTTCTCCCTGTTAATTAGGTTTTCCACTTGCAACTATGTTGAACCAATCATTCAACTTATTATTAACAAGATGCTTCATTTTATGTTAATCGACTCTATATTCTTCCATGATTTAAGTTAGAACAACAGACATCAATATTTATGATAAGAACGCACAATAAACACATCTCGGAAAGACATTCAGGAGAGACAGAAAAAGGTTGTTAACACATGTCATCGATGTTGGGGAATCTTTGAAATTGTATCTGGTGAAGCCATAAACTATTCCTACTGTAAGTGAAGCAGTAAGAAATACAGAAATACTACCTTTGTGTTCAAAGTAGTAAGCTACTATATAAGCTACAACCAGAATGTAGCATCAGTCACTCAAGCTATTTCGCATGACTCTGCACAAATAACATTAGTACTCCAAAACACTAGGAATAGGGTCATTTTTGGTTTGTTTAATAATAATTTAAGAATTCCTTTATGTACAGTAGACTTATGTACAGAACATTTTCGACTACTTTTTTTAGAATGGCTTCTTTGTAATTAATTGTGATCTGTTTTTATGTAAAGTTCTTAGTAACTCTGTTTTAAAGGTGTTATATAAATAACACCTTTATAATAATAATTATTTGTGCTGCTAAATACTTTAGACTTGTAGCATGTTGGTTTTCATAGCTCTTTTTCCTTACACATATATCAATAAATCGTTTTTTCACAACGCATTATTGGTATTATTCCTTAGCTCTTGACACTAATCAGCTAAATCAGCTAAATTGTTACATAAAGTAATAATATAGAGGCATAAGTCATCCATAAGTCTCAATGCTGGTCAATACTATCTTAAGTGATAGCTTACCACTAGCATAAGCAAATTATTATTATTATTATTGTTATTTATAAAGACAACAATGTAATTTGTAACTTAATAATGTGATCCTTTATTTTATCTGCAGTGTTGTAAAGTATTTTTCCCATTAGGATTCAGGTTCACCTCCTGTGTAAATAGTAACACTTTCTTAGGGAGTTGTTCGTATTTTCTCATCAGTTTAATAGTAATTTGGCAAGCGGCCCACCTTCCTCATCTTTGTGATATTTCATCTTAGGAGCATTAATAATAATGTACGTAGCAGTCATGACAAGCTGATTTTTCCTGGATAACATCTTTAAATCCCCCAACATCGTTCTCCCCCTCAAACAGAATGGTAATGAAATTTTAATATGCATTGAAGTATGAATTAATTACATCCAATGAAATTAATTATTTGATGTGGTACTGCAGAGATGTAGGTTGAAGAGAGGAAGAAGGGTGGGGGGATGATGGGATAAGTGGGAACGTTTGGCTTTCAAGCTACTGGACATGAATTAACATAATTAAATCCACTTTGAGGTGGAAATCACACATTCTGAAATTTGCTAAATGAGACAGTGACAGGGAGTGTTTAGGAGAAGAGAGAAGCTTAATCATTGGATTACAAAACTCCTCTCTAATCATGATTCTTATAACTGATAGTTAATGAATCAGATGTTGTGTTAGCTCTGGCATTTTGAACATTTCAACATGACAAGGGAGAGTAAAGATAATTTAAATAAAAAAATCGGGAGTGTTTATTTTCCCAGGGCGCTATGTTCCCAAGGTCAATTGTTCCCAAGGACAAAGGTTTCGAAAGTGAAATGTTCCCAAGACCCTATGTTCCCAAGGTCAATTGTTCCCAAGGACAAAGGTTTCGAAAGTGAAATGTTCCCAAGACCCTATGTTCCCAAGGTTATATGTTCCCAAGGCCCTATGGTACCAATGCTTTATGTTCCCAATGTCCTGTATTCCCAAGTTATTTGTCCCCAAGGCTCTATGTTCCCGATATTTGACATTCCCAAGGCCCTGTGTTCCCAAGGTGAAATGTTCCCAAGGACATATATGTCTACAAAGTGAAATGTTCCCAAAGTGAAATGTTCCCAAGGCCCTATGTTCCCAGGTGAAATGTCCCCAAAGTTAAATGTTCCCAATGCCCTATGTTCCCAAGGTGAAATGTTCCCAAGGCCCTATGGTACCAATGCTTTATGTTCCCAATGTCCTGTATTCCCAAGTTATTTGTCCCCAAGGCTCTATGTTCCCAAGGCCCTATGTTCCCAAGGTGAAATGTCCCCAAAGTGAAATGTTCCCAATGCCCTATGTTCCCAAGGTGAAATGTTCCCAAGGCCCTATGGTACCAATGCTTTATGTTCCCAATGTCCTGTATTCCCAAGTTATTCGTCCCCAAGGCTCTATGTTCCCAATATTTGACATTCCCAAGGCCCTGTGTTCCCAAGGTGAAATGTTCCCAAGGACATATGTTCCCAAGGTGAAATGTTCCCAAGGACATATATGTCTACAAAGTGAAATGTCCCCAAAGTGAAATGTTCCCAATGCCCTATGTTCCCAAGGAGATATGTTCCCAAGGACATATGTTCCCAAGGTGAAATGTTCCCAAGGACATATGTTCCCAAGGTGAAATGTTCCCAAGGACATATGTTCCCAAGGTGAAATGTTCCCAAGGACATATATGTCTACAAAGTGAAATGTCCCCAAAGTGAAATGTTCCCAAGGAGATATGTTCCCAAGGACATATGTTCCCAAGGTGAAATGTTCCCAAGGACATATGTTCCCAAGGTGAAATGTTCCCAAGGACATATATGTCTACAAAGTGAAATGTCCCCAAAGTGAAATGTTCCCAATGCCCTATGTTCCCAAGGAGATATGTTCCCAAGGTGAAATGTTCCCAAGGACATATGTTCCCAAGGTGAAATGTTCCCAAGGCCCTATGTTCCCAAGGCCCTATGTTTCCAACGTTGTATGTTCCTTGGTTTAATATTATTTAGACACACTGTAAACGTTTTCAAAAGGTTTCTAAAGGCTGGGGGAAATAGGACCCCTCGATCATAGGGCCCTGGAAACAAAGGACTCTGGGAACATTGGACCCTGCAAAAATAAGATGAGAACAGAAATAACCCCCTCAAGGAAGGCCCTATTTTTAGAGACTATCTTATCATTCTGTGTGACTGGCAACTCCACGGAGTTACTTTATCCCTACAGGAAGCTCAGTTGGAGTTTTGTTTTTTAAAACTAAAACTCAGGTTTAGGCTGTTTTACTTATTCATAACCCCAGAAAAGGTATGCAGCTTCTGCTATCAACTACTTGTTATTTCTGCCAATATTAGTATTGGCATAAGCACACAGTCAAAATATATTTACATAGGGATTTCATATTGTCATTGTTCTTGAGCCATTACTTAATGTGGGGAAAGCAGGAGAAACACAGTGCACAAGGGGCTTTGATAACAAGAAACAATACACAGAGAGATACGGTAGCGTAAGAAAGTTTTCCACACACAGCAGCGATGGGTAGTGTGGTAAAGTGTAGCCTTGCCGTTTCCTGCAGATGATGATGGCCATGCTGGTGACCAGGGCGGACACCAAGGCCATGCAGATCCAGACGATGGTCATGGTCTTGTAGCGCAGAGGAGCTGGAAACACAGACATAGATTCATGTTTTAGATGAGGACAACAAGTACTACCAACAATCCAGAGTTTGCAGATTTAAAAAAAAAAAACACATACAGTTGATAACACAGACGGCAAGTATAGTTTTTTCAATGAAAAATGCAAAAACAACCCTAACTAAAATTATTAAGTGCATGTTTCTTAAGCCTCACTGCTTTGTGTGTGTTAAGGACAAATACATCCTTTAACATGCAATTCTTTATCACATTATATGCAGCTCTTTCTTACGGTTATTGAAATGTTCTATGAGGTCTAACACATTGAACGGTATTCAGTATGAACTTGGAACGACACTTAGTTCTTCAAAAGGCAGTAAGAATGACCAGTTTTAAAATGTTAAAGGTGGGGTAGGTAATTTTGGAGAAACCACCTCGAGTGCGCTAGAATTTGAAAATACACAACCTCTCTGAAGAACCAGCACCTTACCGTGGTAGAGAGGTTTGTGTGCCCTGATGAACCTGGGGGCTGTGTTGTCTGGAACCTTGTGTTCCTGGTAGGGTCTCCCATGGCAAATTGGTCTCAGGCAAGGGGCCAGACTAAGATTGGTTCAAAAGACCTCATGAAAGGAAAACTAAGAAGTGAGGATACCCGGCCCGGAGGAAGCCCGGGGTCCCCTTCTGGAGCCAGGCCCAGAAGGAGGACTCGTCGGCGAGCGTCTGGTGGCCGGGCTTGCCACGGAGCCCGGCCGGGCCCAGCCCGAAAAGGCAACGTGGGCAACACCTCCGCTTCTCCGTCCCGCGGGCCCACCACCTACGGGAAACATCGATGGGGTCGGGTGCGCTGCCAGAAGGGTGGCAGTGAAAGCGGAGGGTCTCGACGGACCAGACCCGGGCGACGGAAGCTGGCTTTGGGGACGTGGAACGTCACCTCTCTGGGGGGGAAGGAGCCGGAGCTTGTGCGGGAGGTGGAGCGTTACCAGTTGGATCTGGTTGGGCTCACCTCTACGCACAGCGTCGGCTCTGGAACCTTACTTCTGGATAGGGGTTGGACTCTATTCTTCTCCGGAGTTGCTCAGGGTGTGAGGCGCCGGGCGGGTGTGGGGATACTCACAAGTCCCCGGTTAGGTGCTTCGTTGTTGGAGTTTACCCCAGTGGACGAGAGGGTCGCCTCCCTACGCCTGCGGGTTATGGGGGTGAAAACTCTGACTGTTGTGTGTGCTTATGCACCCAACAGCAGTTCAGAGTATACGGCCTTCTTGGAGACCCTGGAAAGAGTCCTGTATGGGGCTCCTGAAGGGGACTCTTTAATCTTGCTGGGAGACTTCAACGCACATGTGGGCAATGATGGAGACACTTGGAGGGGCGTGATTGGGAGGAACGGCCCCCCTGATCTGAACCGGAGTGGTGGTTTGTTACTGGACTTCTGTGCTAGTCATGGATTGGCCATAACAAACACCATGTTCGAACATAAGGATGCTCATAAGTGTACGTGGTACCAGAGCACCCTAGGCAGAAGGTCCATGATCGATTTCGTTATCGTATCATCGGACCTGAGGCCGTATGTTTTGGACACTCGGGTAAAGAGAGGGGCGGAGTTGTCAACTGATCACCATCTGGTGGTGAGTTGGGTCGAGTGGCGGGGGAAGCCTCTGGATAGACCTGGTAAGCCCAAACGTGTAGTTCGGGTGAACTGGGAACGTCTGGAGGAGGCCCAAGTTCAGGAGGCCTTCAACTCACACCTCCGGCGGAGCTTTTCGGGCATTCCTGTGGAGGTTGGGGACATTGAACCAGAGTGGTCGGTGTTCAAAGCCTCTATTGCCGAAGCCGCGGCGGGGAGCTGTGGTCTCAAGGTCCTAGGTGCCTCAAGGGGCGGTAACCCTCGAACCTCCTGGTGGACACCGGTGGTCAGGGAAGCCGTCCGACTGAAGAAGGAGGCCTTCAGGGATTTGTTATCCCGGGGGACTCCCGAGGCAGTTGCAAGGTACCGATAGGCCCGAAGGGCAGCAGCCTCATCCGTGGCTGAGGCAAAGCAGCGGGTGTGGGAGAAGTTCGGAGAAGACATGGAGAAGGACTTTCGGGCGGCACCAAAGTTGTTCTGGAAAACTGTCCGACACCTCAGGAGGGGGAAGCAGGGAACCATCCAAGCTGTGTACAGTAAGGATGGGACGTTGTTGACCTCAACTGATGGAGTGTTAGGGCGTTGGAAGGAACACTTTGAGGAACTCCTGAACCCGACAACTCCGCCCTCTATGTTAGAGGCAGAGCTGGAGTATGACGGGGGATCAACACCAATCTCCCGGGGGGAGGTCACTGAGGTCGTCAAACAACTCCACAGTGGCAAAGCCCCGGGGGTGGATGAGATCCGCCCGGAAATGCTGAAGGCTCTGGGTGTTGAGGGACTGTCATGGTTGACACGTCTCATCAACGTTGCGTGGAAGTCGGAAACAGTACCGAAGGAGTGGCAGACCGGGGTGGTGGTCCCCCTTTTTAAAAAGGGGGATCAGAGGGTGTGTGCCAATTACAGAGGCATCACACTACTCAGCCTCCCCGGGAAAGTTTACTCTAAGGTACTCGAAAGGAGGGTCAGGCCGATTGTCGAACCTCAGATTGAGGAGGAACAATGCGGATTCCGTCCTGGTCGTGGAACGACGGATCAGCTTTTTACTCTCGCAAGGATCCTGGAGGGGGCCTGGGAATACGCTTATCCGGTCTACATGTGTTTTGTAGACTTGGAGAAGGCGTATGACCGAGTTCCCAGGGAGTTACTGTGGGAGGTGCTGCGGGAGTATGGGGTGAGGGGGTCTCTACTCAGGGCCATCCAATCTCTGTACTCCCAAAGCGAGAGCTGTGTCCGGGTCCTCGGCAGTAAGTCGGACCCATTTCCGGTGAGGGTTGGCCTCCGCCAGGGCTGCGCTTTGTCACCAATCCTGTTTGTAATATACATGGATCGGATTTCGAGGCGTAGTCATGGGGGAGGGGGTCTGCAGTTCGGTGGACTAAGGATTGCACCACTGCTTTTTGCAGATAATGTGGTTCTAATGGCTTCATCGGTCTGCGACCTTCAGCACTCACTGGATCGGTTCGCAACCGAGTGTGAAGCGGCTGGGATGAGGATCAGCACCTCCAAATCTGAGGCCATGGTTCTCAGCAGGAAACCGATGGACTGTCCACTTCAAGTAGGGAATGAGTCCTTACCCCAAGTGAAGGAGTTCAAGTATCTCGGGGTCTTGTTCTCGAGTGAGGGAACAATGGAGCGTGAGATGGGCCGGAGAATCGGAGCAGCGGGAGTGGTACTGCAGTCGCTTTACCGCACCGTTGTGACGAAAAGGGAGCTGAGCCAGAAGGCAAAGCTCTCTGTCTACCGGGCCATTTTCGTTCCTACCCTCACCTATGGTCATGAAGGATGGGTCATGACCGAAAGAACGAGATCGCGGATACAAGTGGCCGAGATGGGTTTTCTCCGCAGGGTGGCTGGTGTCTCCCTTAGGGATAAGGTGAGAAGTTCGGTCATCAGGGAGGGACTCGGAGTTGAGCCGCTCCTCCTTCGCGTCGAAAGGAGCCAGTTGAGGTGGTTCGTGCACCTAGTTAGGATGCCACCTGGGCGCCTCCCTAGGGAGGTGTTCCAGGCACGTCCAGCTGGGAAGAGACCAAGGGGTAGACCTAGGACCAGGTGGAGGGATTATATCTCTTCGCTGGCCTGGGAGCGCCTTGGGATCCCCCAGTCAGAGCTGGTTGATGTCGCCAGGGAAAAGAAAGTTTGGGGCTCTCTGCTGGAACTGCTACCCCCGCGACCCGACCACGGATAAGCGGAAGAAGATGGATGGATGGATGGACAACCGGAACAAATCTGCCACTTCCTTACAGAGCCCCTCCTCCAACACACACGAACGCGCACATGACCAATGAGGGCACGAGATAAGTTTGTGCACAGATGGAAGGCTGACAGGCAGGTAGGCCATCCAGTTACTTTAGCCGGCTCAGATGATTGGTCGTGCTTTTTACAGTGCCACGGCTTCCACAGATGAAAGCACTTAAGATATTCATTGCTATCGGGATGTTAAGAGCATTCCATGGAATATAATAAAAAGTGTATCTCGAGCCGGTTTCTCAAACTTACCTACCCCACCTTTAATGACGGTACATTAACATTTAATGCAGCTTTAAACCAACTAATTCAACAAATTGCTTTGTTGGTCGAACGCACTTATTGTAAGTCGCTTTGGATAAAAGCATCAGCTAAATGCAATATAATGGAAAATCTATTATTGTGTGAGTGTGTGTGAGAATGAGCATTCGATTAGATCCTGATGGAAGCCATCAGGGTAGGAATCAGTGTGTGATTGGAGTATTTTTGCAATGGTGCATTTTGCAAGACTAATAGGTGAATATAAATAAAATACTTTATACCTAAAAGACACATACTGTACAATAAACAGAAAATGGAGAGTAACACAGTTGCCTTATGAACTAAATTCTTAAAATGAAAATGCTAGCATGCTAATGATATGCAGGAATAATGTTTATCATGATCCATCTAAGTTTAGCATGTTAGCATGACTATATTTTCTTAGCAGCCGAATACATTAGTTAACAATACCGCTGATATCACTTTTAGTTGTACAGCCTTTTATTCATCAACCAAAGTTTGAAACAAATTCAAACAATGGACCAGAAGTCAGGATAACCAAAAGTGATACCAAACCTCTAAGGGGGTTTGAATCCAATAGAGCTAGGCTACAATAAAAGATTTCATTTGATAAGGGGAATAATTACAATACAATAACATTTGTATCAGATAGTCTGAATTTGTTCTTGCTTCACAGCAGCTCCATTTGCAACATCAACAGGGACACATGACAACTCAAGATACCAGCAACAGACATTAAACCTACTATTACAATCACCGAAGATAATATTCAAGACCCTTTAAAGTAGATTCGACCTCGGATTTATCTCTGTATTTAAATTTAAGGATTGACTGGTGCACAAGGGGAGCAGTTCATGTTCACTGCTTCGGACATGATTGGGGTCAGAGACAATGTTGTTGTTGTGATATGTGATATTGCGTGTTTATCCCGCTGGTAGCCTTAGAGCAGGGGTCTCAAACTCAAGGCCCGGTGGCCAAATCCGGCCCGCGACTTCATTTTATGTGGCCCAGCAAGAGCTTGCAAAGAATATAATACGTTTATTATACGGTTACATGCCGATTTACAGAATCACGTTGCCCATAAACTACATGTCCCACAATGCATCTCGTTTTGTGACATGCACACTGAAGAGACTTGCAATTATTTGCCCTGGACTTCTGCTTTCATACGTAGTTAATTACTAAGTTATTATCCTATCCGATAATAATCCAATTCAGAGGCAATCATGTAATACATTATTTTATATATATTATATATTTATATAGTTACAACCGGCCCTTTGAGTGCAACCTTTACGCGAATGTGGCCCGCGACGAAATTGAGTTTGACACCCCTGCCTTAGAGTAAATGTCGGAGAATCAAGAAAATCAGGTTTGTACAAAATGCCTTGGCAATCCATGAAAGAGATATTTCATTCCAATCAAATGAAGGACGGACCTTCTGACAGACTGACCCCCCCTAACCCTAACCCTAGAGAGAATACAATGTTATTTCAGTCACATTACCATGTACCACTTAGGCAGGCTTTGGTACTGCTCAGATACAAATAAAGGACACAACAAAAAGCCTAGTCAGTGTGGTTTTCCTTAACTTTTAGACTTATTGATTACTCAGCATGTCGGGTAGTGGGCTGTGTGCTTGTTTTCGGAGGCGGAAAATGAATCAGCAACAAGAGGAGGAGGGTCTGGGCTCAGTGAGCAGCAGAATGAAGGGAGACTATTAGTCAATGTAACAGCACTGGGACTCCAACCAGGCAGGAGGTTGAGCTTTGCAGACCTTGAGACTTCTCTGCACGTTATCTGCCAAATCCCCTATTAGGAAAGAGAAATGTTCTAATAAAAGATAGTAGTTTTTAGTAATTCCTACCTCTCAGTGGTGTACTAGCCTCAGGTGGACGTCTACCCCACCCCCGGCTTTGTGTGTACAGCTGTTTGTAGCTGGGAAAGGCTGCTGTTTTGCTGACAGGGCTGACCTGACAAAGCTTGGATCAATTGCACACAGAGGATGGACGGAGGTGGTGATTGGCCTCCCTGTGACTTTAGCCCAGGACCATGCTGTGCAGTCTGCTGGCTCTGAAAGGCTTTCTGTGCCAATTGTTTTCTTATTGGACTATTTTTCCAGTGGTGAAATGCAATCAAGTACTTTAACCAAGTATCTTTTACAATTTTGCATTACTCATCTTGATTGATCATGTATTTAAAGGTCACCTATTATGCAAAATCCACTTCCTCATGTCTCTTCTACATCAACATGTGTCCCCTCTTCTTCATGTCTCTTCTACATCAACATGTGTCCCCTCTTCTTCATGTCTCTTCTACATCAACATGTGTCCCCTCTTCTTCATGTCTCTTCTACATCAACATGTGTCCCCTCTTCTTCATGTCTCTTCTACATCAGCATGTGTCCCCTCTTCTCCATGTCTCTTCTACATCAACATGTGTCCCCTCTTCTCCATGTCTCTTCTACATCAGCATGTGTCCCCTCTTCTTCATGTCTCTTCTTCATCAACATTTATCCCCTCTTCTCCATGTCTCTTCTACATCAACATGTGTCCCCTCTTCTCCATGTCTTCTTCATCAACATGTGTCCCCTCTTCTTTATGTCTCTTCTACATCAACATGTGTCCCCTCTTCTTTATGTCTCTTCTTCATCAACATGTGTCCCCTCTTCTTTATGTCTCTTCTTCATCAACATGTGTCCCCTCTTCTCCATGTCTTCTTCATCAACATGTGTCCCCTCTTCTTTATGTCTCTTCTACATCAACATGTGTCCCCTCTTCTTTATGTCTCTTCTACATCAACATGTGGTCCCCTCTTCTTTATGTCTCTGCTTCATCAACAGGTTCCCACCTCTTCTCCATGTCCTCTTCTACATCAACATGTGTCCCCTCTTCTCCCATGTCTCTTCCTACATCAGCATGTGTCCCCTTCTTCTCATGCTCTTCTCTTCATCACATTATCCCCCGTCTCTTCCCTCGTCTCTTCTACATCAACAGTTGTCCCCTCTTACTCCATGTCTTCTTTTCCATCAACATGTGTCCCCTCTTCTTTATGTCTCTTCTACATCAACATGTGTCCCCTCTTCTTCATGGTCTCTTCTTTCATCAACATGTGTCCCCTCTTCTTCATGTCTCTTCTACATCAACATGTGTCCCCTCTTCTCCATGTCTCTTCTACATCAACATGTGTCCCCTCTTCTTCATGTCTCTTCTACATCAACATGTGTCCCCTCTTCTTCATGTCTCTTCTCATCAACATGTGTCCCCTCTTCTCCATGTCTCTTCTTCATCAACATGTGTCCCCCTCTTCTTCATGTCTCCTTCTACATCAAACATGTGTCCCCTCTTCTTCATGTCTCTTCTACATCAACATGTGTCCCCTCTTCTTCACGTCTCTTCTACATCAACATGTGTCCCCTCTTCTTCATGTCTCTTCTACATCAACATGTGTCCCCTCTCTCCATGTCTCTTCTTCATCAACATGTGTCCCCTCTTCTTCATGTCTCTTCTACATCAACATGTGTCCCCTCTTCTTCATGTCTCTTCTACATCAACATGTGTCCCCTCTTCTCCATGTCTCTTCTTCGATCAACATGTGTCCCCTCTTTCATGTCCTCTCTTCATCAACATGTGTCCCCTCTTCTCCATGTCTCTTCTTCATCAACATGTGTCCCCTTTTCTTCATGTCTCTTCTACATCAACATGTGTCCCCTCTTCTTCATGTCTCTTCTACATCAACATGTGTCCCCTCTTCTCCATGTCTCTTCTACATCAACATGTGTCCCTCTTCTCCATGTCTCTTCTTCATCAACATGTGTCCCCTCTTCTTCAATGTCTCTTCTTCATCACCTGGGTCCCCTCGTCTCAAATGTCTCTTCTTCATCAAACATGTGTCCCCTTTTCTTCATGTCCTCTTCTACATCCAACATGTGTCCCCTCTTCTTCAGGTCTCTTCTACATCAACATGTGTCCCCTCTTCCTCCATGTCTCTTCTACATCACCATGTGTCCCCTCTCTTCATGTCTCTTCTACATCAACATGTTGTCCCCTCTTTTCATGTCTCTTATAACATCAACATGTGTCCCCTCTTCTCCATGTCCTCTTCTACATGAACATGTGTCCCCTCATCTCCATGTCTCTTCTACATCCACATGTGGTCCCCTCTTCTCCACCATGTCTCTTCGACAAATCAACATGTGTCAGCCCTCTTCTTCATGTCTCTTCTAACATCAACATGTGTCCCCTCTTCCTCCATGTCTCTTCTTCATCACATGTGTCCCCCTCTCTTCATGTCTCTTCTTCATCAACATGTGTCCCCTCTTCTCCATGTCTCTTCTTCATCAACATGTGTCCCCTTTTCTCCATGTCTCTTCTTCATCAACATGTGTCCCCTCTTCTCCATGTCTCTTCTTCATCAACATGTGTCCCCTTTTCTTCATGTCTCTTCTACATCAACATGTGTCCCCTCTTCTTCATGTCTCTTCTACATCAACATGTGTCCCCTCTTCTCCATGTCTCTTCTACATCAACATGTGTCCCCTCTTCTCCATGTCTCTTCTTCATCAACATGTGTCCCCTCTTCTTCATGTCTCTTCTTCATCAACATGTGTCCCCTCTTCTCCATGTCTCTTCTTCATCAACATGTGTCCCCTTTTCTTCATGTCTCTTCTACATCAACATGTGTCCCCTCTTCTTCATGTCTCTTCTACATCAACATGTGTCCCCTCTTTTTCATGTCTCTTCTACATCAACATGTGTCCCCTCTTCTCCATGTCTCTTCTACATCAACATGTGTCCCCTCTTCTTCATGTCTCTTCTACATCAACATGTGTCCCCTCTTCTCCATGTCTCTTCTACATCAACATGTGTCCCCTCTTCTCCATGTCTCTTCTACATCAACATGTGTCCCCTCTGTGGAAAGAGACTCAGGAACAAAGATTCTCTCTCTTTTTGATCCATTTCTATAAAAACCTGTCTGAAAATGAGCTGATCAGATTTTGGCCACTTTATGATGTCATAACGATGTTTTGTCTTGAGTAACCATTAGCCAATCACCAATCAAGGTAACCCCCCCCCCCCCACACTTTATCACCTGAATCTCCTCCTAGAGCACCATTGAGTTCTTTCTAACCAAATGTCTCTCAGAGGGGCGTGGGGAGGGGCTCCTTATTTTCATCTAAAGTAACAGACAGGGAATCAGCACTTTTGAAACAGGGCTGAAACAGAGGGGATTATGGGTAATGCTACAATCATCTGTTTGGTATTTGGAGCCAAACACTTCAGAGACATGTTTTGTATATATCTGAGAGCTATAATATATTGATGAAAAACAGTATAATAGGGGACCTTTCAGTTCTGGTGTTCTGTTGGGGTTTTGTGGGTTCTTTTTGGAAAAGAGAGTTCTTGTCTGTTTTGCATTTATCCAGTCGCCGTGAATAAAGGTTAGTTTCGGTTAAAACATTTGTCTGTCTGAACTTGGGTCCATCCTGCGCTGCTCATACACAGTTCCTTAAGGTCTACCATACACACACACACACACACCTGCTTTCCCAGTCTGGATCTCCACATTTGGGCTGAAGTGTCCGCAGCCTGCTGACGTTCTGGCTCGCACCTGGAAGATGTACTTAGTTCCCGGCTTCAGCCCTGACACTCGAGCGCTGGTGTTTATAGACTTCAGAGTGGAGTAGCTGTGGGCTTCATTATCCTGAAACAGAGACAGTTAAAAGATTAGCTTTGGGGAAATTGACATGTTGGTCTGTGCTTGTAATATGTTTAATGTTTTGTAACACTGTACATATCCCCGCTGTGAGACTAATAAAGAACACTCGTTTCTAAAATGATCAACATGGGAAACAGGGATATTTTGCTGTAAATTAATTAGCAGTTTACCTTATTCCCAACATCAAGATGCTGATTAGACAGCATGATTATTGCACAGGTGTGCCTTAGGCTGGCCACAATAAAAGGCCACTCTGAAACGTGCATTTTTGCTTTATTGGGGGGGTCTGGGGGGGTCCGAAAACCAGTCAGTATCTGGTGTGAGGGGTAGGGTTAGGGTTAGGGTCATGTTGTGAATCGAGTGGCCTGTGTTCGTCGTCCATAACATACGCCTGCCCATACCATAATCCCACCACCACCATGGGCCACTGGATTCACAACATTACCCTACCCCTAACCCTAATCCTACCCCTCACACCAGATACTGCCTGGTTTTCGGACCCCCCCCAGACCCCCCCAATAAAGCAAAACTGCACGTTTCAGAGTGGCCTTTTATTGTGGCCAGCCTAAGGCACACCTGTGCAATAATCATGCTGTCTAATCAGCATCTTGATATGCCACACCTGTGAGGTGGGATGGATTATCTCGCCAAAGGAGAAGTGCTCACTATCACAGATTTTTTCAGATTTGTGAACAATATTTGAGATAAATGGTTATTTTGTGTATATAGAAAATGTTTTAGATCTTTGAGTTCATCTCATGAAAAATGGGAGCAAAAACAAAAGTGTTGCGTTTATATTTTTGTTCAGTGTATTTTCATCATGATGGACATATTTTCATCGGTGATAGTCAATTACACTTTGAGTCGATATGGTTATGGTTTAAAGATATTTTTTTAACAAATCTTTACAGTAATGCATTGCCATTTGTCTCAGAGTGTTTTGAAAAAATACATCTTCAAACATCTGCCATTCATAAAAAAGCCTTTTCAGGATTTAAACTTAATTGTACTGTATCAGGGTCTATGCAGGAATCCTGAAGTCACATGTAAACCTTTTAAGACCTTTTTTAAGACCCTTTTCATACATTTTAAGACCTCATCGCCACTTTGAGTTCTAACCGGTTACCTTGGCGACACACTTCACCTCACATTGACTATATACAGTATTGATTGTCCTTCCTCCTTATCTTCCAACCATTTGGACGCAGACTTGCATTTCCCCATAACGATGTTGCTTAGCAACCGGCGTAAACGGACCCTCGCGCGCTATCAAGCAGTGAGCGTGCGATGTCCTGTTCATTTGACGTCAAACCCAACGGGATGCCATCAATAAACTACACAGAATCACACTACACACCTACGCAATGATTACATTCAGGCAGACTGTAGAATACAACCTCTTTGGGCCATTTATATACTTATTGAAAACAAGCTACAAAATGTAATACCTTGGAAAATACCGTTTAATACTTTTTAATAGCCTTCATTTTCGCTAAATTGATTTATCATCTTTTAATACTTTTTAAGACCCTGCGGACACCCTGTCTATGCTGTTGTAATTGTATATATATAATATGATATATAATAATAATATATATATATTAGTGCTGTCAAAATTATCGCGTTAACGGCGGTAATTAATTTTTTGAATTAATTGCGTTAAAATATTTAACGCATTTAACGCATGTGCAGAATGGCCCGCCCCATACGTGCCACCAGTGGCAGCGCCAGGGTATGGCTGGGGTAGGCTACACCCATACCAAGAAATGGCTTTCAGCCCCACCATGAAAAATGATGTTAAAGTAAGCAAAATAAAGTCTGCCAACTCGCGCGGAGTAAATTGCACAGACAGCAGTTAAGTAACGTTCACAACGTTCACACTCTGTGGTCACGAAGTACTCCACTAGCCGCCGCCCCCCCCCTCCCTCTGTCGACTTTCCTGAAGTACTCCCCCGTTGATAGAAATCAACACGTAATGAATTAAGACCCCACGGTTTGATGATTGATAGGTGTGTGGGTTGTCTTTCATTTTGACACACAGAAAATGTTATAATAAACATAGATACTGTATGTTAAACGGATATATCCGCCTTCTTTCATTTATCTTTCCATTCCCACAACAATATACATAAATAAATGGCATATTTTGGACATAGTTCGAATGGTGATTAATCATGATTAATTAATTTTTAAGCTGTGATTAATCTGATTACAATTTTTAATCGTTTGACAGCCCTAATATATATATTTATATATAATAATTGTATATATATAATAATGTAGTATGTAATTGGCAGCTATTTACCGCAAACATCTTTTGATGTGTGTCTATCAGCAAGAAGAATAACAGGTACTTTGAAGAGTGTTTGTCCTATTTTGTCTCAACTTCATTCCGATAACTCACTTATGATGCATCATTTGTTCAAATGCGAGCTTATTGCACTCATCTGTCATCCAAGGATTTGTTTTTTTACGTGCATATTCATAAAAAAGAGGATTCATTTATTGTTTTGAAGGTACATAATTGTTTTTGTTGGAAGTTTGGATTTATCATAATCATCGTCATTGCTATCCTCACCTTGTTTTCCTTATACCTGCTGCAGCATCTTTGAAAACTGAATTCTGAGAAGCATTGAGGTACAGTAATAAGAGGTGCAAGGTGCATCCAGACAGCAGAATCATTCAATCATTCATGTGTCCTTAGGAAGAATAAGAGCCTAATTATGAAGAGGTGCAGGAATTGTTTTGTCTTCGTTATCCTCCTCAGCTTGTGTGCTGCAGCAGCTCCCTCGCTGTGACTCACTGTGTTTGCTACAGTCGAATAGAAAGACTTAAGAAAGCACAGTGCTGACTTGTCCACTTCAAATCCCCCACAGGCGTCTCGCCCCCCTCAGCGAAGCCAGATTAAGACACCGGAGCAAGAGACAAGCTAATCCTCCATCACTCCCCACACCATGCTGCTTGTATGGCTATGAGACTGCCTGTTTCCTGGCTGCTCCCTCTGCAATTAGCTGATTTCTATCATCACACACACACACACACACACACACACACACACACACACTTATACATCTGCATTGCATTCACACACTCGCAGCAATTAGTCGGTGTCGAGGCTTATGCGCCCGCCAGCCGCTTGCTGTCACTGTCACTTTCGCTAAGGTGGAATCCACACCGTCTCATCCTCCTTCCTGCTCTAACTCTCTCGACCCCCATTTCCCTTTCAATTAGCTGCGAAGCCGGCAGGATCTTTTTCTGGGATTAAGTTATCCTTGGTCTATCAAACCACTCCGTTGCATTCATAATAACTTGGCTCAGGTTAGTCTCAACCCTTTGAAGACCATGTATGTTCTCCAGGTTTAGCTGTTTTTTGATAATAAGCAAAATATGTTGACACAACACTTAAAGAGGACATATTATGCTAATTTTCAGGTTCATATTTGTATTTTGTGTCTCTACATGTTTCCATGTTTTAAAGGTGGGGTAGTTAATTTTGGAGAAACCAGCTCGAGTGCGCTAGAATTTGAAAATACACAGCTGGAACAAATCTGCCACTTCCTTACAGAGCCCCTCCTCCAACACACACGAACGCGCACATGACCAATGAGGGCACGAGATAAGTTTGTGCCCAGATGGAAGGCTGACAGGCAGGTAGACCATCCAGTTACTTTAGCCGGCTCAGATGATTGGTCGTGCTTTTTACAGCGCTACGGCTTCCACTGATGACAAATGTGTAGAGGAAACTTCTGTGTAGCATGCAATGGAGTCACCGACTCAGGAAGGAGACACGGGAAGAGTCGAAGCTTTGATGTCAAACCACTGTGATTTATTTGGAGTTGGTACCAGAGTATTCACATCACAAATCCAAGAGTCAGAGGTTCTGACTCCACGGTAGAGTTGCCACGTCAATTCTGGAGAGCCTCTCTCTTGCCAGCCCATCTAACTGGTTTCGCAGAGAGTAAACAACATATTTGAGAAGATAGCCTAAACAGTGTGGGAACACAGAGCTACTTGCGTCGGACACTTATGACCTCGAAGATTTTACCTTGGAGTCCACAAATACAGAGAAGGAAGTATGGACAAATGGATTTTTGGTCAAAGCACTTCAGATATTCATTGCTATCGGGATGTTAAGAGCATTCCATGGAATATAACAAAAAGTGTATCTCGAGCCGGTTTCTCAAACTTACCTACCCCACCTTTAATTTTCAAAAAGCTCTTTATTTTGCCCAGTCTGCTCTGATTGGTTAACTGGCATGCTCTGGTGTGATTGGTCAAACACTAAGAGATGTCCTGCCCCTTAGCCTATCATGTACAATTTGTTGGAGCTCTAGCCAATACAAGCACAAGGGTTACATAGTGATGTCACTATGATACAGAAGTAAATTGCAGACCATTTACATACATGAAAACCTATATCACACACTACATAACAAATCACTCTGGACTCTAAGTCACCTGTACATTTCACATTTATATCCAATCTAATATGTAATAGTCCATTACTCACATACTTATGTATATCTAATATCCTGCTTTATATATGTCACTGTACATTTCTAATTCAACATGTATATTTTCTACTTTTTTTATTGCTATTTTATTGTTATTGAGATGTTGACATTTTTAAATGTGTATTTCTTTTAATTGTATTGTACAATGCCAACGTCTTTTTATGCTGCTGCAACATAAAAAAGGTCCCAACATGGGATCAATAAAGTACTTCTTATCTTATCTTATTTTACAGGGAAGGGAAAATCCCCCAAAAGCATTATAGGGCTTATTTATTTCTTGCAGTTCTTTAGTGGTACAGATGCAGTTGATTACCTTCTCATAGTACTTGACGTCGTACTCCAGGATCACTCCGTTGGGCCGGTTGGGTTCGTGCCACATCAGAATCACGCTGTTCTGACTGGTGTTCTCCTGGCGGATCGCTAACACTTCAGAGGGGGCTGCACGAGAAACAGGAGGGGAAACCGCTTCGTCAGTTCAAGAAGGATTCCTTTATGACATGTAACAAGATCAACCTGCTGTAAAGTCATGTTTACAGGGAATGCTGCATTTCAGGAAAAACATTTAAGCATCTTGCACATCTGAACAAATAGTGACCACTGCTATATATCTCTCAAGACAGTTTTTACAGTGGATCCCCAGCATTAAGAAACTCCCAGATGCGTACTTCTAATGTTGCGCAATTAGCATAATTAGCACAAGTTGCATTGCTTAGCATGATAGCTATATCGGAGTGTTTCACACGACATCTATTGCACGTCTGTCCGTCCTGGACTCTCCCAGAGGTTTCTTACATTTTTCCTTGTCCGATGTGAGGTTCCAAGGACAGAGGTCGTATTCATATTCTGTACAAACTATCAAATCCACTGGAACAAATGTAAAATGTGTGATATTGGGCTATATAAATACACTTTGATTGATTGATTTCTGGAGTGATAGAGGATGCTGAATCTGCTTCTGACATGTTCAGGATACAAAATAACAGTTGGAAGCTGCGGTCATATTTGCGGTCATATTTGCACTCACAGCAGGCCGAGTTTTGAGTTGATTTTGAAGTTGTAGCCCAGTGATTCTCAAACTCTTTTCAATCATGTACCCCCTTTGAAAAAAAAATTCAGCCAAGTACCCCCTGATCAGCGCAAAAACTATTTGTTAGGGGAAAAAAGCCTATATAAAGAGGTACAGTACAGCGCTGCACCATCAGTGTCTGATTTATTAAAACAACAACCTTGTAACTGAGAAACACTTCAATGCTACATTTAAATGTTTACAATCCATCACTAAATTCATGGCAAACCAATTTTAACATCATGCAATAACACTAAGATGACATTAGTTGCATTGAACTGATCTTTTTAATAAGTTGTACTTACAATGTAGTGAGAAACATGGGCTTGTGCTTCACTGAGGACCTTTGTCATTCTGACAGGAAGGCACCTGCAGTTATTACACTTCGTGTTTTGAAATAAGTGTAACTCTAGTCTATTAATATAAAACCCACACTGCTCAAACTTCGTTACTTTTCCTAAAATTAGTATATTAGTATATATCTCACGTACCCCCTGCAGTACTCCAACGTACCCCAAGGGGTCCGCGTACCCCCATTTGAGAACCACTGTTTTAGAAGACGCTGGATCGTTTGTGTTGGACAGATTGCTTATCTATTTGAAAATAAATTGTCCACAGTGGTTCGAAATTCTGGGGACTCATACTACTTTGGGGTTCCCAACATCTCTGGGTTAAAAAGTGCTGGCTAGTATTGGAATAGTCTTTGACATTGTTCACCACTATAATCAGTTGTAGCTACATTGACTGTTTTCTTATAGGTGATATCATTATCCAATAGTTTGAGCCCTTCCTGTCCCTTCGGAGCAGAAAGGATGAGTTTCTCTCCTTCCAGCCAAAGCATTGTTTCCTTAGCAAGCTCTACACTGAAGCGGCTCGTTTTGTCCCATGGTCAGGCCTCTGAGGATACAGGGTTTTCTGTAAACAAGGATGTGGAGACTTGCAACATGTAGGAGGACACTGTTGCTGCACACACTGTGTTATTGTGTCAATGTACCAGATTCCCCTCACAAGCAAGCTTCTGTGGCAACAGCCAAGTCAAGGCTACCATGGGCACCTCGATCAAGAGGGAGGAAGCAGGAGTCTGATGCACACCGCCGGAAGAGAAAGCCTTCAGAGGATTTACCGGGAGGAACTAAAAATGAAAAGGAGAACCATCCAAGAAGTTTCTGAAAGTTTCTGGCCAGACAGGAGAAGCTGAGGACAAGGCTGGCAGTCGGACGGCCTCGCACATAACAAAAGATAAATGCTCTGAGGAAGGGCGGCAAGGAAAAGTTAGCTGAGCTCAAGAACATTAAGGAGGAGATTTGTGGTCAAGGGAGCTCAGATTAATGTAGCCTAGTTTTAGTGTACACACACACACACACACACGGACACACACACAAGTAAACTACTTTTGCATACAGGGGAGGCGTATTATTTTTTTATGTTATTGGCCAACAATTCCATAACAACCTTTTAACATGTTGTTATTTAAGTGGTACCCCAGGGATTTTTTAAAACATAAAACGTCAGAATTTGGCCATTGAGGCTCATGGTAGGGTATCTACAGGCTAACTGTTAACAGTGGCTAATGGTAGATACGTGTCATTCAGTTGGGCTGTATAGTTGGCACATGCAGTTGTAGGAGAAAGGGGAAATATGTGGCCTTTTTAATGACTTTTTTGTATGTTTTCGCGGAATTACTTTCAACATGAGTATCATTAATTGAATGGGCCCACAGAGAATGACTAAGAAATTGCCAGAGAAAATTGAATGTCGTCTGTTCGGTTTGTTGGGAAAAAAAGTGAATGACTGAGAATGTTAAATAATTTAGAAGTAGTAACGTTACATCATGTTACGTTAATTGTATTATGGCCGATATTTAAGAAACTTTTGGGCAGCATAAGCGATGATATGTCATCAACACTAAGTTTATATGGCAAACTATTATAAGCAGTATTACATCCAATCCAATATGACCTGTTTTAGCTCGGTATTTGGTCTTTATCAAAATCTTAGAGAGATATGTGGCTGTAGTTGCTATATGCCCTGCTTTGTTCACTAGTCTCTGACTGCTGCTGGTTTGAGTAGGTTGATTTTGAGTAGGTATTGGTAGGAGATGTTCCTCTAGTTGCTGCTGTGTTCCTACCAAGAGTGGAAACTAAATCAGAAGCCAGGACAGTACAGTAACAGGTTGTTCCCTAAAAAGATTATTTCTGGAACATGCACCAAATCTTTTTTACTGAGAAAATGTTGTATCATTGTTCCGAACCCTACCTGCCTGGTTCGTTGTGATGTTGACCGTGGCGTAAGGGGAAGGCTGGTTGCTCAGGTGCGTCACTGCGTTCATGGCCTGCAGACGGAAGGAGTAGTTGGTGTGAGCCACCAGGTTGAGCACCGTCACCCAGGGCTCCGTCAACCCGCTCTGCCGGGGAACGAATCGAATCGCTGCGGAGCCCAAACGCTCCACCATGCCTCCGAACCCCAGGCCCGCCCCTCCGCCTCCCTTCCCTCCACTGGCGCCTCCGGGGGAAGACGCACAATCCTCACAGGTCCCTCCTTCCCCTGAACATTTCCGACACAACACGCTGTACTTCAGGTCGCTGCGTCCTCCTGTGTCCAGAGGGCGATCCCACTCCAAATTCACAGACGTTCCATTGACAGAGGAGATGGCGTTAACCGGAGCAGTTGGAGGGCCTGGAGAAAAGGAAAGTCTTGGTTAATTTACTGGTTTGATCACTGATTAATAAACATTAAATGGGCCCTATTCTGCAAATGTTCAGGTTCATATTAGTATTAAGTGTCTCTACTGGGACATGTCTCCATGCTTTAATGTTACAAAGCTCTTTTCACCCTCTGTCTGAAACCAGAGCCCAGTCTGCTCTGATTGGTTAGCTGGCCGTCTCTCTTGTGATTGGTTTAGGGTCGGTGGAGTGTTTGGGAGAAAGACTCCCTCTGGAGACAACACATGGATGTTGACCATTTACATGCACAAAGAAATATATAACACACTACAGAAAAAGGGAAAACCCCAAAACACGGCCTCTTTAATTAACTTAATAACAAAAAAGAAACAAAAAACTGTTTAACAATAATTATCACATTTGACCATGAGTCATGAGTACCATTTTTCCCACCTATCGTCCCATTCGGTATATATTAAGTTAGATGGCTGTTGTGGGTGTGCTTGTCGGCATACATATTTGTAGTTATGAATTGGAGAAGGTCTTGCCTGTGGGATTAGGTGATTATGTGTGTGTTGTGTGTGTTTGTTCTTACGGGAGCATGGAGCCGCTACTGGGTCGTCCGCCGCTCGATAGTAGTTGGAGTCGCAGGGGCAGGTCAGGGCGGCTCTGGTCTCCGAGTGGCTGTGTTGAGGACATTTTCCACAAAGGCCATCGCCCGCCACCGGCTTATAGAAACCCACCTCACAGGCTGCAGAGAGAGATGGAGAGTAAACAGAGTAAATAGAGAGAGAAAAGGCTCTCCCAAAATCACTCAGGCCATGCATTTAGATAGGCGTGCCCATAGGAAGCTGTGCATATCAACGCTGCTTCAACCCTTTGAAAACTGTGTCATCTCCTCATTCATTTTAGGACTTACCCCCCTCCTGACCCCCCTCTTCCAAATATGTATAATTACAGGCTTTGTAACCGTAGAGACCGTGGAGCAGGGGAGATGAAAGTCATACTCAGATTTGGGCTGAAAGGCTCTGAACTTTTGATAGTCCCAGTGAGACCCTCAGAATCCAGACCGTGTTTCAACCTTATTCAGCTGCTCTGATACATATTCACTTTTAACTCCGCACTAATTAATAATGGAGGGGGCTCTGATAAATATATTCTCTTTCCAGGCCGTTAATAGGCTTCTGCTGTGGTAAATGGGACAGCGGTAAAGCTTGCATATACCCTCAGAAAGCAGCAGCAGCAGGGTGTTTGCTTCTTCCTAGTAATTTATGTTTTTCCCAGAATGCCGAGTGTTAGTTTACCGATGCAGTGTTTCCCTAACCTTTTTCTTGTTAATGTTATAGAAGGCCATTTTAAGGTGCTTAAACTTCAAGGGTGCTGAAAGAACCATGAAATTGGATCGGTGAAATTACAACAAAGCGAATAGTTACAATTAATTCTAGATTACTGACATTTTAAACGCATTGGAAAGAACGAAACGTTCCCATGCTTGTCCCCGATAAGTTCACATGCATATACTCAGAGGCACACACACTCAGAAATATGCAATTCAATGAGATTAGATTTTTAATGATATCCTGTGTAATGGCGTTTAATTTAAAAGGCTGTATTTATCGCAGCCATTAAAATCCCCCTAATTGTTCTTCGTAACACACTGTATTTATTGCCCTCATGACGCATTTCTTCATGGAAAATGTGACTTTTTAACCTGTTAAATGTGTGAAAGTTCACATTATTTTTGAAGCGTTCAACTCTAGTGAATGTATCAAAAGCTATTTTATCCGCCTGGATCCCTCACAGGCTTCTCACCTGCAAACACCACCGGTTGTGTTTATGTGCTGCCAACACACTAACCTGCTGTTTGTGGCTTTGGGAAGTCATCCCGCTTTTTTAATAGTAAAATTAAGAAAAAGTCTTCCTTCTCTCTGTGTGTACCTGTGTACTCTCATGTTCCGAATAACCCAGCTTCCCCACATTTCTTTTTGGTGTCTATCTACGCCGGGATCCTGAGTCGTGGCTGATCCTGTTGCTGTGGTCCTGGATCATAAGTTCTGGATGGATTTCCTCGTGGATTCATCTTCCTATTATACACACATGCATTTCCTAACATTCGGTCTTTATGTTGCAAATGTATTATCTTTTCAATTTACACACGGCATCTATTGCACGTCTGTCCGTCCTGGGAGAGGGATCCCTCCTCTGTTGCTCTCCCTGAGGTTTCTTCCATGTTCCCTTTAAACTGTGGGTTTTCTTCGGAAGTTTTTCCTTGTACGATGTGAGGGTTTAAGGACAGAGGGTCTAAGGACAGAGGGTCTAAGGACAGAGGGTGTCGTATTGTCATACTGATATTCTGTACACACTGTGAAGACCACTGAGACAAATGTAACATTTGTGATATTAGGCTATATAAATAAACATTGATTGATTGATTGAAATGTAAACATACAAATTACTGAAATTCTTAACATTACATTTTCATTTAGCTTTTAAACAAAGCGACTACAATATGTGCAATAACTCATCAAGATACAAATATAGTCAAATATCTGCTATTATCAAGCGTAACGCAGTGTAAATGTATTTGAGCGACATTAGGATATGGAGCCTTTAATTGATTGCCATTACTTCCCCAGTGGTTAACGATGTAGCATTTAAAACTGTGACAAATATAACTGAGAATGAACACACAAAGATATCACAGTATGTGTATCACTACACAGGAGGAAGCCGCATGTCCTTTTATTTTACTTTCAGGGCCACCCCACGATTCAGACACTATTTCTATTCTCAGTATTTATCCCAAAGTATTTTCTCTTCCTCTCTTTTCCATCCCAGTAAGCCCCTCCATCCCTTGATGTTTTTTGTGAAGCCCCTGAGTTGAAAAGCAGGTCACGATAAACATCGGAGCAGCTCGTTCATCAAGGAGAGAGACGGCGAGCGCTTTGAAGTCTCTGACAGATTCACTAGGAGTTCCACACACACAGATACACACACACTCACACACACTCACACACACACTCACACACACTTCACTACACATGCAAAGGTTATGATAATGCAAAACACACACCAACATGCACACGGCGTGTCTGTTGACGCCACAGTAACAACATGAATTTATCAGGTAGAAATGCAAGTGCAGAGCGAAGACTGCGTGTGATAAACTCGACACCGACAACGTGGGGTTGAAGGATCCTATTGGGATTCAAAAGATTATCTATTTTATTCTAATTATGATTTTTAAATTATGATTTTCATATTTTTGTAGTATTTTTTTATTTTTAGAGTCCAGGCACCGCCAGAAAGACAGAGCGAAGGACCTTTTGAAATCTCTACAGTTGTTATTATTTGCGTGAATCTGTTTGTACGGGCCTTAACATGTTTAAAAGCTGGAGTTTTTTGCCACATTTGTTAGGAGTGTTTTAAAAAAATATATTTTAAGTGTCTCTTTATCGGTGATTGCAAAATGGCTCTTTAGCACCCCGTACGAAGTTGCTCAAATTGAGCCCCTTGTTGTAGTTTCACATACAAGTCGGACATTCGGTAGGCATATGAAGCATGGGGAGACCCCCAAAAAAGCCTCTTTCACACCAACGGTGTTTCAGGGCCGGTTCGGAGCTGGAGCTTGAAAAGCATCGGGTTTTCCTGTTCACACCGCAGAGGAGCAGCCTCTTAGCTCCGGAATCCGGTTCGTTTCAAGCACCAAAAAATTGTCCGGCCAGAGCAAAAGCACTACATACGTCAAGCTTACGTCGAGGCGGGGGCAGGGGCAGGGGCAGATCAACTCCTGAACAACAACAAAAAGCCTGTTTTATCCAACACAAGCCTGTTTTATCCAACACAACGATGGAGAAACTTATCAAGCAGCAGTGGTCCACTGAAGAGACCAGCTACCTACTGGGAATCTGGTCTTCCGAAGAGGTACAGAGGAAGCTGGAGCACAATCGGCCATTGTTGTTGTTGTCGGTGTCAGCTGTGAGGGGTTTCCGCCATGGATGTATAATAAGAACTGGATACAGCGTGGGAGGCGGGGCCTCATTCATTCCTATGAGAGTTGCTCATTAGCGCATGATGATAAAATGGCCCAACTTTTGAGAGAGTGAAACGTCACAGATTACCCAGCATGCCTGAGAAGTACCCGTATGTGCGCTCATAGCGCATGCGCAACTTTAACCAAAATGCTCGTTCACATCAAGCACGTCAATTTGCGTACACGTAACAGCACCGTGCGTTCATGACAGCATGGATTTGATATTAACAAGGCGGCAGTTAGCAGCTAGCGGCTAGCTAGTAATGATGCTAATGTACACATCAATCGTTATGTACTTATATTACGCTTTAACAGGATCTAGTGATATCCAACAGAGCTTCATTTAGCATGAAATAATTATTGCACTGTATATATATATATATATATATATATATATGCAGTGCAATAAGCTTCTTAGTGCAATAATAAGCTACAGGGACGTTAATCTAACGTCGGTAATATTAACTTTATGTAATACAACAATTACGGTACAAGATTTAATCATACAGCCCATAGTATAATATTTTACAAATGATGAATTACAGCAAAAATGTGCAATATATCCATTATTACAGCTCCGTGGGATGGCAGTAAGGCGATATGGTCCGTTCTTATTGTGCATCCATGGGTAAAGAGAAACTCATGTAGTACTGAACACGTAACATGAACGTGCCGGGCGGCGCGGTCCCGTGGGTTAGATGCGCGTTCATAATGCCGAGGGAAATAACTCTCAGAATAACGTTATTAGCAAATTTTTACAACTTGAGGAACGAATGTTTTTAATAAGGGCTATACAAACGTTCATACTGGGTTGTTTATTTAGTTTTAAAAAAATTATCCAACGAGTTACAGACCACTCTTTCCCAATGTAAGTCAATGGGAAAAAGTGTTTCCGGGCCCAGCAACCTAAAGGAAGTGTAGTACCGCCGTTTGGCCACTGCGAATATTCTCATCAGACTCCGGTGCACTTCCTGGGGGCTTGGTTTCCGCGCGGTTTGGCTTTATGAAGCAGGCACGCAAACGGTTACGTCATGACGCAAACGATGACGCAGCACCAGTCAGACTCTGGGCGGTGTGAAAAGAGCCGGAGCTAAACCGAAGAACCGCTTCTGAACCTGAAAAGCTCTAGCACGGAGCTTGAACCGGAGTTGCGTTGGTGTGAATGAGGTATTGGTGGCATATCGTAAACCCAACAGGAAATCGGTCATTTTGGATTTCACATGCAATATTGAGGCACTTTGCACACGCCATATTTGAACAAACGTTGAACTTGCAGTACAATGAACTATTAGCCAAATAAAAAAATTAAATTGTGTTTCAGTTATCACATTTTGTTGAAATGACTGACAACTAACATGCAACACTTCAGAGGTAAACTCCTGGTTCAAAGAAAAAGTTAAACAGCATGCAACAATACAGAAAAAATTAACAATTGAATGACCATCTAGCAAAAACAGTTTTTGAATGGTCTTTCCAGAAGAGAACTTTGAAACACTATCTGTTATACTTTAAAGCATGGATGTCAAATTGACTGCAATAATGTCAAGAATACTGAAGGGATAAAGAAACAGAAGGAGACGGGAAAATAGAATCCTACTTCTTTTTTCCGTCACACTCCTCTCAGTAAACAGTTTACCGAATCTCTAAGTTGGTAAACGTGTGTGTCTTTGCATGTGTGTGTGTGTGTGTGTGTGTGTGTGTGACTGTTTGGTGTGTCA